TATCGATTAAAAAACTCTCAGTTTGATGAACATTTTAATTCTACTCTTTTTTCTGGGTGATTTCCAGAAATAACCCCCCAAGAAGATGGTATCAGATACTTACGTTTCATTGGAAATGGAATTCTGGTCGTTTTTGCAGTTTATCTTATTAATTATGCAATAAAAGTATTGCAAATTTGTTTACTTTAATTTTATCCTTCAGTCTCTCTAATATGCCACTACACTATTTAGCTGATAAGTTATGTACAGTAGCGCAATGGAGCAATACCTGTGCAAGCATATGCAAAGTTTTGGTGCTCTGTCCACTTTTTTCTGTCCTTGATAACTGATTCAAAGAACATTTTTAAATTAAAAAATCAGAAATATATTAATGATTATTCCAGATTTAAAACAAATAACAAAATAAGATAAATGAATTTAAAACTTCCATTAATATACAAATGAATAAATATTAATTCAGAAGTCAAACAACAAAATTCTGAGGTTACATTTTCAAATTTTCACAGGACTAGTTTTGATGGTTTTACCGAACCACCATCCTCAGTTGCAGAAGTGCAAATGAACGAGATAGGATATAATGATTAGATAAGATAAGAAAGCCTGGACAGAAGATAAGCTAGTGGTGCCATATGTTGATGAAACCAGAACTAAAACAATTTCTTTAAAGACCAAAGGCAAAGATGGATTGGGATTAGGATTGTTAACTAGAACAGAAAGATTTTTTTTTGAATAATTTTGGCAGCAGAAAAATTGAAAGTGTGATTTCTGTGTTTCCTTTTTTCTAAGGGCCCTATCACTTCTATGGACGCGCTCGCTTACCCGGGACAATTCCAAGAAATGAGATTCTAGTAGCACGGCAGGCTTCCGAGAAATGTTTCATCTAGCTAGGAGGAACCTGTCCCGGCTACGAGCAACATTTTAAAATTTGTTCGAAAATGGTCCAGCTGGAGACGTGTTCCTCAAACGTTCAACCAATCAGACGAAAGTTCTGCTTCTGAAGGATCACGGGTAACTTTCAATATGGCGATGGCTCTCACTGTGGATGGATGGTGGAAATAGAGGCCAATTTAATTATTGCTGTTTTGTTGTAATACAACTGCCTGAGTCATTTGTTAAATGTGTATATGTTCATTAAATATATAATCGTGGAAATTTCAGAGTGGACAGTATTTTACGACGTTCTTGCAGTTCGGATTTGTTTACAAATTGTTCGTCGCCAAAAGTTCGCCAAATTTGTCATATTTCGTGCTGATCGTGTATTATCACTGTTATATAATAGAATTTTATTTCTTAAATTTAAGTTGAATAATTTTTTTTAAATCCGTTTGTATATGCACAGTTTTTCTCCTAATTACTTATCTTTTAAATTGTTAATTGCATAATCAGTGACACATTTTAAACAGCATAAAAGATGCATAAAAAAAGAAAAGCATAGCTTATGTTATAATGAGAATACTCATTAAATTTGTCTATTATTTTCATGTTATTAATGAAATAATTTTTGGATTATAAATACATTAGAAACTATACTTTTATTGTTAATTCTACATATTGAAACATTGGAAATTTATGGATTTATTATTATGCATGATGAAAAACATTTGTATATACATTCATTAATATAAATCTTATTCATTACATTCATACTAATAAATATATATTAACAATTTCTAAACCATCGCATCTCTCTCTCTCTTTATGTAAATATATGACTTATTAGATGTGTATATATATGTACGTATGAATACAAAAATGAACATTGCCAAGAAGTTTATTTGAAGTTGTTTTAATTCAGATAACGATTATGTAATTGGCAACAACTATAGTTATCAGTTTCTTGCAAATTATTATGGGTATGTAAAATCATTGAAAAATAACTGATGAGTATTTGAGTACTAAAGAGTGTACACCTTTTGTTATTGGGTTAATTCATAATTATATATCATACGTATGATCTAACGTAATAAAAACATGACTAATAAATAATAAGAAATGTAACAGCTGTGCATTTAACATTTGATTACTTAAAACAGTGCACAACTGATTATCACCTTCATGTCTGTTTACATAATGAATTGCACTTTCCAATTAAGTGCACGGGCCTACTAATGGCCGAAGCGTCGTTGAACACTGGTAGTTCTGTCTCAGGCTAAAATACCACGAACGGGCTGGCTACATGACGTTTCCTTGGTTTGCCCCATTTGTAACTGGTATATGAGCCAGTTTTAAAAAATCTTCAACAAAGGGATTCTCCTGTTACGCAGATATTCCTCGAGGCTTTGCCGTAATCACATAAAACAAACTCATGATGTGCACCACCTAATTTCTAGAGTTGGTATAATTAATGTGTTTTAAGTGTATTACCGAGTGTTCTATGGGACAGTAAACAACTCGCACATGTTTGATTGCTCATGTATACATATGCTTTATTTGATCTTCATTTTGCTAAATAGTATCTGCTGGCTGTGAGAATGTAAATATCAGCCATATAGACTTCTGTCATAAAAGGTCTTCTTTTTTTTGTCTCAATTCTATTGATCCTGCTATTCAGTTCACTTTGGAACTTGAGACTTGCAATTTTCTTCCGTTTCTCTACATTCTGGTCACATGTAACACATCCAACTTCACAGTACTATGGTTTACCGTAAACCTTCATCGGTTTGCCTTCCACTAAACTTTAAATCATGTCATCCGACTAAACAAAAGTTAACCTTATTTTATTCCTATGTTTTCCGTGCTCTTCAAGTTTGCTCCTCCAAACTATCCCTTGATGAAGAACTAAATTATTTAAAAGCAATAGGTATTGACAGGGACTTTTCACCCAACATTATTAATCTAGCAGTTAAAAAATTCTCATCTCAAAACATTAAAAGGCACACTCTTGTTTTAGGAGATTATAAAAATTCTGTTGTCATTCCCTTTTTTCCATCAATTAGTTATAGAGTTGCACATATTTTGCAGCAATTTAACTTTCGGGTCGTTTATTCTCCAATCAATAAAATTCCGAGTTCCATACTCAAGGACCCCATTCCGAATATGAATTCCTGGGGTATTTATAAGATTCCTTGCCAGTGTGGTTTAATTTACATTGGCCAGACTAAGACAGCCTTAAAATTTCGTGTCAAGGAACATGAGGCATATGTTAGAAAAAAAGGAAAGACAGAAGTCTTCTGTTGCCCAACATTGTTGGTCCGAAAATCACATTTTTAATTTTTCTGCTGCCAAAACTATTCAAAAAGTCTGTCATTGGTGAACTGGACTTTCTAGAGGCATTTCACATTCAAAAAAAGTCTTTCTGTTCTAGTTAATGATCCTAATTCCAATCCATCTTTGCCTTTCAGGTCTTTAAAGAAATTATGTTTTAGTTGTGGTTTCATCAACAGATGTCGCCAGTAGCTTGACTTCTGTCTAGGCATTCGTATCTTATCTAATCACTATATTTTATCTCTTTCATTTGCGCTTTTGCAGCTGAGGATGATGGTTCGGTAAAAAAAACCACGAAGTAGTCCTGGATTTTTTATGCTTTTTTGTTGTTGGACCTGGATTAGTATTTGTTCAGCGTGTTATTGTGTCTTAATAAAATGAATAAATACTAAAAAATCTTATTTTATACTTAAAAAACCATAATAGATTTCTTGTATGGATTTCATCTCATTATACATGCCTTTAGCAATGAATTGAAATGCTACATACCACTTACTCCACTTCTTCAGCTGTTAATTCTCTATAAACATAAAAGTTTGGTTTATGTAATTATGGCAAAGCCTCAAGTAGTAAGCCTAAGTGGAGGGATGCCTATGTGGAAGACATTCTAAGGGAAATTGGCTTGTATACACATTACACATGGAGAAAACGCCCATGCAGCCAGGCCGTCTGCGGAATTCAAACCTCCGACTGACTATCACTGTTCCGCAACTCTGGTGGGCCCTGCTGAGTTTAGAAGAGAAGCGAATAGTGGTGATTAGACTAGACTCAAGCACCAGCAAACGATCTGGCTGTACGGATGCTTTGTTATATAAATAATGTCTTTGTTACAAAGTAGACATGTTCCAAAGTGTATGCCAATAACTTTGTAATTGCTATAATGCATGCACTGCAACTGGTATTCATTTAAATAATTCTTATAAATATAAAGCATTATTTCTTGTAAATATCCATGATTAAAATAAATTTTTGTCCTCATGTTTTTTACACTTATTGCATTCCTGACTTTACACTTCACATTCCATCATACAACATATAATGAAAATTGTTACTTTTGTCATATTACATTACCCCTTCAAATTGTGACCATTAATTCAATGAGCCAATATTATTGATGTTTCCTCTTCTTATCTAATGGAAGCAGGCTTTAGTCAAATCAGTTTACAACAAAATACAAGAAACAGGTGAATATTTTTGAATGATATAAAATTAAGCAGTTTCACACAAAATATTAAAAATATTTCAATAATACATCCCTCAGAGCCATTTCATTAAATTGAACTTTCATGCAATTAGAATCTGATTTTGTTTCTGAAAACTTGCCATTTCTAAAATTAAAATTAATAATAACACAGAAAATAAAATTAAAAAATATAAATCTTCATATTCTTAGTTTAACTGTTATCTTTCAGTTATTAATGTGCAATTATTTGTATTACGATTATGCTGCATATTACAGAAAAAAATGTAAGAGGGCTATGAAGTAAGTCATTGTTTTAAAAGGAGTTGATACATGAAAAAGATTAGGAACCCAGGCATAGATAGAGCCAAATTCATTGAATTAAGTTATTTTTTTCAGTTTTCCCTGCATTTTCATTTTTTTAATAAAATGACTTCATTTGGGGGGAAAGGGATAGCAAGCACACTTATGCTTAGTGATTAGTGCCTATTATTTTTCCTTCAGGAGAGTATGCAAAAAGGCTTTAGAAAATAACAGTAATATTTGTGTGGTCTTTAAAAAAAAAAAAAAAAAAAAAAAAAAAAAAAAAAGAGACAGGGAGATTAGCAGAGTTTAAATATATTTCAGTATTTAAAAATACAAATAAATTTAAATATAAATATAAAGATTTAAAAATACACACATTTCATGTAAATATAAAGTTCTAATATATACAACTCCAAAAATTAATTTTATAATCAAGAACATCTGCCTTTCAAATGAACTTCAAATTCAGGACCTTCTTCCGAATGAAGTAGTAATGTATCTTCATAAAATCCAGGTCCAATAGGTTTAAAATGCACTGGGACAGTTATAAACTTTTTCGATCTGTACAAAAAGAAAGCAAAAATTGTTTCAAGATAAAATTCAATAGGACTACTATTTGAATTTAAATATTTTTAAAATAAAAAAATCAGTTCTGCAAAAATTGTGGAATCTAACTTTTGTATGGCCTCCTGGATGAGCTGTTTAACTGCATGAAAAAATTTATACTTATTTTCAAAAGCAAAAATTCATCGAGATTTAAAAACTGACATCATGTTCAGGGGTCATAGGCAAATTTTAAAAACAAAATATTTGTATTTATATGTACCCAAAAATAAAATGTTAGCTTAGAGAAAAGGTTTCTGATGTTATTATATTAAGAGACGAACATAATTATACGCAGAATATCGTGAAAAGCATTGATTAACCCTTTAATGGTCATCAACGAGCTCAGCCAGCATTTCAGTATGCATTGCAGTATCTGCAAAGACATGTACCACGTGTGTTTGGGAAGAAAGAGCTGGTTATTCTCACAACTGCCAAAGGGTTAATATAATTTTTTTTTTAAAAAGAAAATTTTTTATCTCAGAATCTTGTAGAGTTCTGGTTTTGAAAAACATTGGTGGGGTTCGGTGTCGACATGCAGCTAATTTGTAGCGCTATCTGCATAAATTGAAAGTGGAAAATATTTTCAGTTTAATGAGTTTTTTTTTTTTTTGTATGATTATGTATCTAAAGTAAAACTGCATGAGAATATTAACATATTTTTAGTATTTGAAACCTATAAATTTCTTAAGTGTATACAGCACAAAACAAAAGTTCATATTAAAGAACATTACAGAAATATAGTTGAATACATAGTTGCTCACATATTTTTGGCCCTAGTTTTAGTATATGATTTAGAAACTTTTTTTAATGGAAATAGTGAAAGTTATAGGCACAAATGGGAAAAATATAGAGGGTGTTTATACATTTTTGTAATGATTTTGCAAAGATTTATATATATAAAGGAACCTTAGAAATTTAGTTTCTAATATATTCAAACTGGTAGCCCTTTTGTTGAATTATCATCTTGATTTCCAAGATAGAAGTCTTTTTCTTAAAGCATTAAGACTGATTTTAATTCCACTCTTCCTTCATAATCTTCCACAGTCCATCTAATATTTTGAGATGCCGCTTATAAAAAGCTTGTTTTAAAAGTCCAGATGCACAGTTATTCATACACCGGGGACTTGGGTGAGATGCATTTAAAGGGAACAGCTTCAATTCCAGTTTCATTTCTCATTTTTTCAGAGCAGTAAGTAGATTTAAAGGTATGGTTGGGAGCCTTATCCTGATGGAACTTAACACAGTGACGATTGTTTGGATAAAGACAAGGAATTTTTTCTTTAAAAATAGGCGTTAAAACATATTTCTGATAGTAATCTAAATTAATTTTAACAATTTTTCTACTTTGCTTATTTTAAGTTTCCATTATAAAAGAATTCTGTAATAACCATAAAACCTTTAGAAAAACTTTACTTCCTTTCTCTGAACCAACATAAATATTAAGTCTTTTTCTTATCTTTTTTGTTAGTAAATCATCTTTTCCTATTGCAATAAGTATATCCAAGCCTCATCAACTGTAACTATATATTTCCATTTTTTACCTGCCAAATAATTTTCATACAGCACATAGTCTTATGCCAAAAAACATGTTTCGGCATTAGACAATGAATATCCTTTTTTTTTTTTTGTTTGTTTAGCTCTAAATCAGATCCGATTGGTTGTTAAAGGAAAGCTTCAGGGAAAATCTGCTAGGTCCGTGAGCAGAGTCTCTAGTTGGCCCAAGGAATGTGTCGATTTGTAATTATCATTTCTGAATATGTAAGGAGCACATAAACATGCTTCGAAAAATACAATCTCCCGCCAAATGTGAATTCCGTTCAGTCATTTAATTTCTGCATGCTGAAGGAAGCAATGCAACTGAAATTCATAGACGAATGGGTAAAGTGTACAGAGAAACGTTCATGAGTGACAGCAAAATGCAGAAATGGTGCAGGAACTTTGAAGCTGGATGCACAGATGTTCCAGATGCAGGCGGCCAGGGAAGGAAGCCAGCATGAACCGATGATCTTGTTCAGTTCGTGGATCAGGCGATTCGTGGAAATCGTAGGTTCACAATTTCTGGGTTGAGGGATTTGCTTCCTGAAATTTCACGGTCAGCTATCTATAGCACTACTTGTGAAAGACTCGAGCACCGCAAACTTTGTGCAAGATGGGTTCCCAAGATGCTGTCTGACCATCACAAAACTCAGCAAATGGGCGCCGCATTAACCTTCTGTGCTACCATCAGAATGGAGATGAGATTTTGGACAAAATTGTCACAGGAGATGAGACATGCAACTGAAGACACAAAAGAGCAATCGAAACAGTGGATGCATTCACACTTCCCTAGTTGTAAGCCAGTGAAGTTCAAAAGCATGTTCTCTAATAAAAAGTGTATGGCTCCAGTGTTTTGGAACAGAAAAGGTGTTCTCTTGGTGGAATTCATGTGCAATGGCACAACCATCACTGCAGCTTTGTACTGCATGACTCTTGAATGTCTACGAAGAGCAATTCAGAACAAGAGAAGAGGAATGTTGTTGTCAGGTATTGTTCTTATTCATAACAATGTGCGGCCACACACTGCAGGTGAAACAAGGATCCTCCTGCAGTGTTTTGGATAGGAAATTTTTTATCACTCACCACATAGGTCTGACTTGGCTCCCTCAGATTTTCATCTCTTTGCCCACATGAAACGCTGGCTAGGAGGACAGCATTTTGTCCACAGGCCAGCATACAGAATTGGCTGAAAACACAGGTGGCTGCTTTCTATGACGAAGGTATTGGAAAATTGGTACCACACTATGACAAACGTATGAATCGGAACGGCCATTAAGTCGAAAAGTAGCTTAACATTATATTACATTGTTCAATATAAAATTTTCTTCATTCTCACTGTAATTTTCATTTAGTGTTCAATCGGACCTTGGGGGGGGGAACCTATGTATATACATAAAAGAGATTAAACTAGAATTATTCTAATTTAGTCTTTATACCATTTTTCAAGGCAAACAAAAAATTACATCAGAATTTCATAATTTGAAATTTAAGTATCTCTGTCATGATGTCAGTCAGACACTTTGTGTTTTAATTTTTAGAGAGAATTTAACTATTGAATCAATTTTTTAAAATTTAGAGCAAAAATATTTGCAACACTTAAAGCATTTTTTATAATTGGAAGTAGGTATATGGTTACGACCAATGGTATTAAAGGCTGCATAATGACTTTTATGGAGACTGTGTATAAAAATCAAGAAATTTTAGAAACGGAAAGTTGGAAGAAATGCACTCTGAATCAAATAACTGATACTATCATTAAAAATCGGAAAAGCTGACACAGGAATGTAAACACACCAAAATACAGAAATTTCAGATGTAGGGAAATATTAACAAAAGCTTTTGTTTGAAATATGCACGGAAAGAAGACTAGATATCTATTAGCATTCTATTATTACGATGAAGGGCATAAATAGTAACTAAAAAATATGTCTCCCACCAATTCCATGTTTTAAATTGCAACGAGTTTTAAATCACTTTTGACTGACTATTTATAAACAAATCTAATTAGTTGTTCCAATAAACAGAAAGATTTGTAATATGTAGTTTTGGATTACATTTTATTAGGTATAATTGCCCATGTGCCAACCCCGGTTTTCCTGAAGTTATACCAACATAATCATATTTTTGTCCCTTTATTTATTTATTTTTATTAAAGATTGGATTTTATTGGGTAGTTGAACAAAATAATTTAATTAGTCTTTAAGCCATTTCAGCAGCAATTTTGAAGCTCGAAACAAAGGTTATGTTCTTCAAATGTGATTGGTTGCCTCCAGTTGAAGTTGGAATATAGTGGAAAGAATAACTAGGCGGCATAATTTGAAAAAATCTACCCGGCCAAACTTTTATTAGTAATTCTATCTTTTCCCACAAAAATCTACTAAGAATCCCAAGTAAAGCTCCACTTCCAGTTCATAACACACAGGCAAAATCTAGTATGCTGTTCCTCAATCATATACGAGTTTTAAATATCAAATATGAAAGGTTTTGGATTATATCATAATATATTTCTTGACTAAAATCTATTCAGAGCTTCAAGCAAAGTTATCATTTCTGGCTTAACAGTTTCAGTTAAAATCTAATATATTGTTTCAACAATGTAAGTGTTAAAATATCAAAACTGGAAAGTTTCAGATTGTATTTAAAAATAATTTTGCATTCAAAACTGTTATAGACTTCATGCAAAGTACCACACACCAGTTGGCTCTTAAAACTGGTATGGGCTTTAAAGTAAAGTATTTCTGGTTGTTCCATTTTAATACAAATCAAATCAATTTTTTAGACGAAAGCTTTAATATGTAAAACAGATAGTTTTGGAACTTTTATATAAGAGTTATGGATGAAAAAATAATCAGACACATAAACACACAAAGAGAGATCATTGTAAAAATAGTGAATTTGTGTTGTGAGGATCCTAATTTGAGATTATTCATTAAAAAGTAACAACCAGTTTTTGGATCGAAAACAATATTCTTTTACCTATGTCTATCGGTTGGTAGAAGGTAGAAAGAAGGATAACAAGAAAGGAAATATATTTATCCTGTTAAGACTGACTCATCCTAATAAGACAAGTATGGTGGTATTTTCTAAGGCTCATATTAATGCAAAATGATAAATCAATTTTTAAATACGCAAATTTACATAAAATACTCAAACACAATTCTCAACATTAGTTTAGTTGGACTTCTTATTTTTATGAACACACTAAGAAACAATATTTCAAATTATGTTTAATAAATACTTACGTAAAATTTTGTTAGGGAAAATTAACGTGAAGTACAGTGATAATACACATGCCATCAACATATATTAGGAAAAAAAAAAGGGGGGGGGATGTTCAGATTTTAAAAGACAGATTATGCACAATGGTTAATGATTTTGGATGCAGACATAATTGCTAATGATTGTTCTATGAGCTGAACAGCAAAATTTAATTTGAAAAACACTCATTTTATTAAAAATAAATGGAATAATCTATATTTGCAAAAAATAACAGCATTTTTTTTTTTTCAATTAGTATTGACAGTACACGAAAATCCCATGATCATCTAAAGTAAATGTTAAGCCATTTTACATTTAGAACAGAGCTTATTCAATAAATTCAAATTAACATTTAGTTTTGAAAATGAATTAGTAACTTTAGGTTACTGAAGTAAAAAAGAATGTGTACTTACTTCACTGTTAAACCAGAATGGCGTATTACAAATGGCATCCGTGGCTCTATTACACTGAGCTAAAAGAGAAGTCAAGATGGTGATAACTGAATAGAAAAATTTATTTACAGCAGTATTTTATTTAAAAAAAATGAAGAAAAATGGCAGAATCATAGAATGCTGAAAGCTCTTTATCTCCAATATTCTATTTTTAATTTCATTCTTTAGAACTAAATATGACAAAAACAAGTGACAAATACTATAAACAAAACCACAGTATTATAAAATTTCCAAGCATGAATATTTACTGCATGTAACAGATGTAACCAATTCCTGTAGATTTTTGCATATTCCTTTAAATGTTTTGATAAAATATTTAAAATTAACTAAATTTTCAACAGATCAGTTTACCTTTATATTTTATATACAGTTATAAAAAGAAAATACGTTATAGGTCGTGGGTTTGAGCACTGTGTTAGTTGCCACATTATAAGGCATTTTCTTGTTATAAAATTAAAAGGCTATCTTGAGGCCATACTTAAGAGAATAAGGAATGATATATACATTTCATTCATAAACCTAAATATAAAAGTACTGATTTTAATAGAATATTTGTTGTACGGATTATTTAACTCAAATTTTAATCTGATTACAGGACTCATAGTGAGAAATTCTGTGGGTGAGTCACAATATTTTATGCATCACATCACCAACAACAAATGCTCTATTCAAATTATTAATCACGATATCTGTTACACACATGTCACACAGAGTTAAAAGGATAATCTATATGCAGATTTTATATACAAATGAATACATCATATTCACCTCTGGAAAAGTGGACATAATGCTATGAGGTAAAAATGACTGCCTTGCTTTCTAACAAAAAAAATTAGGGAAATATTTAAATCTCACTCTGCAATGAAGTGAAACAAATAAATAAAAGAGAAGGAGAGGAAAAATTCAATTATAAAACTGTACAGAATTATTCAATCACTATGAATAAACATACAGAAAGTAGAAGCTAGTATTTGTAAATCAACAAAGAAAAATTGATTATACAATGGAATGCATTCACACAGATATGGAATTTTTGATATTTAAAGTACCAGACCACCTTAACAGAAATCATGAAATTTTCAGAAATGTACTAAACTCTCACAACAATCTTTCAGTCAAGCTATGTTGCCTTTTCTGTATGCATTCTTTTCATTGCATTCCACGTTCAACAGCTTTTAGAGACAAATATTATTTTGGCCTTCAACTTGGTTTTAAAATTCTGCTCATACACTTTGTTTCAAAATACTGCTCATACATTGCATAATGATGCAATCTGCCTGCAAAAATAAAATATTTTGCACTCAAATCTCTAAAGGGAACAATGATGAGAAGAATTTGACAGATAGCCGGTGTGGAATTCTGGACTTTTTTTTTAAAAGTGAAAACAGATCACTGTGCACACAGGGAGAACAGCACAAAAAAATTAAACATTTTTCCATTTGATATGTTGATAATATATTGCTGACTTATGGTAAATACCAATAGTTTGGAATTTTTTTAAAAAGTTGTACAAATCAGCAACTTGTACCCGGTAAGGCTGCTATCACACGTCGGTTTGTTTCGAAAGAACAACTGTTTAGAACAATTTTTCTGCTTTGTCACAATAGCCAATCACCACAAATCGCTTTGAGGTTAACACAGGAAAAACTGGTTCTCTATTACAAACCAGCTAACAGCAGATAGCTGATCCATTGAAAACGAAAAACTTGCAACTTTTTTCAAAAGGAAGGAAAAAGTCGCACGTCTTTCTTTCAATAGTAAACCAGGCAGAAAAATTGTCTGAAACAGTTGTTCACGTGAAACAAACGCTGTGTGATATGGGCCTAAGTAATTTTTGCCTTGCTATCTGTAAAAGACCACCTGACTGTGCCGAATTGGTTGTATTAATACATAAGTACCAAATTTCAATCATATTTGATGACATTTCTAATTCTGTGATGAATACCTTGCTCCTTTAAAATTCTCTTACATCCAAACATTTAAACAGATTGCCAAATAGAGGAAGTTCCTGGTTCTCTGTTGAATACAATACAGTACTTGCACTATGAGATATGCAAACATTTCAAAGTTTCTGATAACTTCCCTATTTCCAATCACTATTGTGAAATAATAATGTAACTGCAATGCCTGACATGCTTCTAGGGGGTAATGCACAGCAATCTGGCCCACATCCAACTGGCAAAACTATTTCCAACACAATTTTACCTTAAAGAATCAAATCAAAATCATGGTGGGTATCAAAATAATAGAAACACCTATGAATAAAAGTGACATTTAAGAATATGTTTTGTAAGCATTAAAATATAATCATAGCTACCAGCTTATTTTTAATATAAAAAGTACATATTATGGTAGTATGAGGTAGCTTTAGTGAAGTTGTATATGTCTTGGATTTTAGTCAAAAGTGTAAAATGTCAGACCTTACAGAATTTCAAAGAGGCCAAATTGTAGAAGCCCAACTAGCTGGAGCAACTGTGACTGAAACATCCCAGCTGTTAGGCATTTTCTAGAGATATGTTGCCTAAAGTTATGACAACATACACATAGTGTGGCAAGATAAGCTTGGCAAAGCAAAATAGCAGACGGAAGGGAAAGCTGACTGAAAGAGGCCGACAGGTATCGAAGCAGATTGTAATGTCTAAACAGAAAACAACTGAAGCCAAAGTGACCGCACAGCTCAGCCAGCATCTGGATTTCCAGTATCAACAATTACAGTTAGGAGACACCTTCATAGGCAGAGCAGCTATTCCCAACCCACTAGTCACACATGTTACTGCCAAACATCATCTGCAGTGGTGCCACAACTACAAAACCTTGTCGGCTGATAAGTGGGAGACAGTTACACGGTCAGAAAAATCATCTTTCACACTTTTCCCTATAACAGGACGAGTGCACATCTGGAGGATATTTTTCCTTTTATTCGATAAGAAGAAATAAAGTAAATTTTTAACATTCTATCTCTAATAACGCTAAAAAAGATTAGTTTTAACTACAATCTATGCTAACTAATCTATGCTACTTTTTTTACTCAAATTTAAATAAAAGAAATGTTTTCTTAACGGAGAATAACAGCAATAGTTTGACAGCAGTTGAAAGTATAGAAAAATTCCTACAGTTCCACTGATAATAGACGCAAAAATTCTATTTCAAAATTGGAAAATATCATTATACTAAATTATTAGTGTACTCTTACTCAGATACTGTAATTTATTTTTTTTGAATGTCCAAAAGGCACTAAATACAGTTTTGTATTGGTTAATTTTTCATTGGAGTCTGTTGCCATTGACAAAATATGATACTTTCTTTCAAATTTAGAATGTGTAATTGATTAAGAAACTATGATATTTAAAAGCAAGAGATGCTGTTCTTAAAAATATTATTTTTTTACTTTTTAATCTGATTGAATGAAACAAAAAATGTATTTAATTCATGATGTTATTTTACTTCTCAAGCATACAAAAGATATAGAACATTCCCACATTCGTCTAAAGGTATAGTCTTCTAATTTCCTTTACAATTAATAATCTCTAAACAAATCTTTGCCAATGAACTGGGTTAAACTTTATATGAGACTTTCTTTTTTAAATCTGTTCTATGCCATGAATTTTTTATAAAAAAAAAAATCTTGCATTGTATTTTTAACTTGTTTTCTGCTGGGGTGGGCAAAAGGTCTGATTGTTTAATACGACCTGTTAAATCTTGTGCAAAATTTTCACATCTTTCCTACTCAATTTTGTTAACAAACTATCAAAATCAACAGCAAGAGTGTCCACCTAGTAGCAGTAGTAGTAAAGGCTTATTTTTCATATTAACTTCCAGGTGGATTTAAACTCTCATACTAGAATATTCATCAGCTCAGCATTACCCTAACCACGGTACTAACTAGTTTTTTCCCATAAATTAACTTTCTTTACTTTACAGAAGGTTATTAAAAATTCTTCAAATACCCGCCACAAAGTTATTATTTTTCAGCTGTACCCCCCCTTTTTTTACAAAGTGCTGTATATGATAGTGGGCTAATATTTTTTGATGGAATAATTTTACCGTTCTTGGTATGAAAACATGAAATTATGTGCTGATTTCCCATATGCCCTAAATATATTTAGTTTATTAACAAGAAAAGTTGTTTTTTCCCGCACATTGCTGTTCTACAGTGCATACAGTGTATATGCAGATGACTAACCTAAGCTGAGAATCTTAGATACGTTAGAGAGCCTGGGCATCCATTGAAGAATATAACCTTATCATTTCTGCCAGCTTTAATTTAAAAATTAAACAACGAAATATGAATATTGCCGAGATACAAATAACAATAATTAGCATAGGAAGCTCGGAAAAAGAACAGTTCACCTTTAATTTTTTTTTGAAAATGAAACAGTATACATGTCAACATGACCAGTAGGAACAGACTTCTTTCTGGTGTATTTGTAATTTCTTCAACAGTGTAATTTTTTTAATTGTAATTGTATTTTTTTTTCCCTAAAATTTCTGGTCATAAGGGGTGTTTCCCATCATTGCTTCCTGTAAACAGAAACTGGTAGAAGTGGGTTTAATACAGAATTCCACCACTGTCATACAGGTGTAGTCCAGCTGAACTAATGTGCAGTTCGGCACCAATTTTGAGGAAGAAGGGGTACTATCCCTTTTTTCTTACCACTAAGTTCTTGAAAGGACTGTTGGCTAGCCATGTATTTTGAGTGCCCTCTTGTTGCCAGACACTATACTGTATGCTTACAGACATACAAGTCTTGTCTGGGATTTGAACCTGGTCCATCAGTATGGCAGTCAGTGCCACTAAACATTATATTGGGAAGATAGTGCTTTCTGCAAATAATAGGATAAATGCAGAAGACAGTCACAGCCCTGCCCGTATCATGCACTGAAAAGGATCTTGGCTTGCAGTGAAAAGTACTGGCCCACTCTTTTTTTCCCTGTTTCTTAACATAATTCTATTTTTGTTTACAATAAATCACATTAAAAATTGTAAAACGTATTAAAACTTAAAATTGCATTTAAGAGATTAAGTCTTTAAGTTTTAGAAAGACATACTTAATTTTTTTTTTTTTTAAATTTACATAAATTATATGCAAATATTCAAACTCAAGAACAGAAAGTTAAAACACACAAATACATGATTAGTAGCTATATATCGCTAATGCAAATTTTCAGACTTTGAACTGTAGAAATTATATACCTTTATGTCCTGAGTAGATCTGTTTCTTAAGGTAAAAGTAATGGAAGAACTTTTGCCGGCAGCAGTACTAGGAAACTCACAAACTTCCTTGTCGATAGAAACAGCTGTTTTGGGCCTGGGAGGTGGGGAAAATAAATGAGAATATTTTTTTAAACAAAAGAACTAATTATCAGATTTAAATTATCAAACATGAATATTGTTTGTTTAAGACATTATTTTTAAAATTCAAACTTTGCAAAATATTCTTATGAATAATTATTATACGATAAAATTTGAAACATGAGAAAATAAGCAAAAAAGCAATCAAATAAAATAGTAATACATATAAAACTGAATTAATCCCTCAGATTCTTTTATATACATGCATTATTAACATCTGAGATTTTGATCCAAACTTTTAGTTATTATTTTCAGCATTTTAATATAATTTAAGCACACATGTTAATTGCAATATTGTAAATTATTGCAAAGCTTCTTTGAAGAGTTAAAAAGTATTAATTTTTTGAATAGCTACTAATGTTTATAATGCATATAAAGTTTGTCAACAATTTAATAATTAATTATTTCACACAGTTATAAATGATGTATTCTAATTTAAAATAAATAGAATAATTCAGTTTTTTAAGATGCAGTTTTATGGGCATATTTCTAAAACAGATTACTTATTATTTTCTTACTAAGATGGCTTAACAAAACTTTTTTTTTCTTTTTATTAAACGTTTACTTTGTCTATTAGATATTCCATTATTGGTGCTCACACTGCATAAAATTGATTCAATGACAAAATAGCAAAATATTTAAAAACAGCATTCTTTAGAATTTCCAACAACCTTGTGCGCTGGAGATAAAAATGTTTTATTTTGTACAGTATTGCAACTGGCCACTTTGAAATCATTGACTTTGTTAATAATAATAAAAAAAAAAAATCACTCAAGTTTTACAAAATATGAAACAGACAATAAAACAAATTCGGACTTCTACATGCTCATGTTTGGGTGGAGGACTATGTTATTCAGAATTTGATTACTTTAGGTATTTGACTACTGTTGTTTTTTCACATTTCAAGAAATATACATACATTCATGCAGATTCTTTATTATTTAATTTCTTCAAATATAATACAGGGCGATAAGATTTGGTGGCAACAATGTGAAAAGTGATAAAACACATTTAAGTATTTTCAGCAAAATGCCGTTTTGAGACTAACATTCCTTTTGGGCTAATATTGTAACAAAAATCACTGTCTATAATTTAACTAAATATTGCACATAAATGAATCATTACAAATAGCTTTTTAATGACTTAAAAATACTCACAGCATATTTTAAGTGATATTCAGTATAACAAAATACTAACCTTTCTTTCAGAGGCAAAGATGATCTTTTTTCTCCATGACTAGCTGCAACTTTTAACTCTGAGAAGACAGCTTTAGCCTAAAATAGAATAGAGCAGTGTTGATTAAAGAGAAAAAGCTGATAATCCTTATAACATCAAAAGCCTTTTCTTATATGTTGGACTTTTGTCGCATAATCCTACATATTTTATTTACAGAATGCACCGAAGCAGCAACCCCAAAGCAAAACTTTTTTTAATGGCTTTTCCCCATGCCAAATGTGACATAAAATTAAAATCCTTTTCCAAGCTTGGTTAAGGATGTTGAGCGTTTCATTATTTGAGTATTTTCCCCAAAAGTTAAAAATCATGCATGTTGAATCATAAACTAAAACAGTAAAAATTTGAATCACGTTAAATACAGTTAAGTTTTAAAAATCTCATTTCTTTAGAGGAGAAATTTACTTTATTACGAGTTATAACTGTTGCTTTTACCAAAAGATAATTGGTGATACTAGCCACATTTAATTTCATGCCACCTAAATATTTATCAGTTCTTTGACAATGTTAGTCTCATCTAACAACTGAAGAAGTCAACCAGAGGAATTACAAGTACTGAAATGATTAAGCAGTCAAATTTTCCCAATGCATATACAATACAAAGTCTTTAATCCGGACTCGTCGGAATTTCGGCGATTCCAGATTAGGGGTTTTTCTGGATTATAGATCATCAATTTAAGTCTGGTAAGATGGCATGCAGAAATTATAAAATTAAAAATATGAAACCGTAATTTATGAAATAAAGGGTACCAAAAAATTTACGTTATTAAACATTTCTTTCATTGTAAGTTGTTTAAGTAGCTTCGTTTTATGTGCTAATACTTTGTCTTTAATTCTATAAACAGACATAATTTCTTGTTCAGTTACAAAGTCTGCTGTTCAAGTCCTGTAATTGCTGTGCCAAGAATACTGACTAACTTGTCAACCGAAATTTTTTCGTTTTCACTAACCTCTCTGTCACTTTCTTCATGCCTTTATCCATTTTTTGCAGCAATTCCACTTTTTGTTTCATGGACATCGAAACATGCTTTTGCTTTGTACACCCTTTGGCAGCTCCAGAATCAGAAACATTTTTTTGACATAATCGAAAGTTCAAGCTTACTTTTTATAAAATTGCTCTAACAGCCTGCAAAAAATAATAAGCTGGATCCAATTAGAAGATTATGGAACAACGTAATCTGCAACATTAACTGAAATAGATAATTTTAGCCTAGCTTATACCGTCCGTTATATACATTAAATGCACATGCGTAAACGCTCAGAAAGTCTGTAACTTTGAGGTCCAGATTATAGATCATTCCGGATTATGGACGTCCGGATAAAAGACTTTGTACTGTATACATTAAAAACAATTATATTACTACTGCTCACTGTCAAATATATATACAAATCCAGCATTAAGTATTTTGAATTATTAAAAATGAGCAAAATATTTTACCACTTTTTTTATGGAATTTATTATTTATATAATATTTTTTATTTCATCAAACTATGAAACTTACCCCTCCTTCAATTTTAAAAGCAGAACTTTTCTTAATACCATTTTCAAAATTCAGACTGATTTCAAAATGCTGAGAGAAATCACCAACAGCTGGAGGTAAAAATTTTATAACAACTGTTTTTGTTTTCATAGAATCCAAAACACCACATAATGGAGTTAGCTGTATAACGGGGTCAGTATTTTCGAAAGAATCTTCCAGTACCTGAAATTAATAAAAATGACCATGATTTTAAAATTGTTAAAGGAAATAATATCTTTTAAACAGTAATTAAACTCTTTAGAAAAAATAATGAATATACAGCAGCAAAATATTTCCCTTAGAGGTACTTAAACACATTGAAGGACTTATAAAACAGTCAGAAAATAACCATAACATTAAATAATATATTTGGGACAATAGTTTATTTTGCTTAGCAATTTATCTGCTCCATTACTAATATGAAAGTCTTAACTTTGGTTCATTAAAAAATGCCAATATGAATAAAAATATAACACCAACTTAGTTTATAAGAAATTTTTATTCATATAAGACAAAATGCCATCATCTTAATAAATTAATATCTCAAAATTCAGTCAGTTATAATGCAATCATGTTTCTTATACTAAGTATACATAAAATCAATAATTTATAAATTGCATGAAATTATGATGTTATACTAGCAGAAAGTATTAAGAGAGCAAATTAAAAGAATCTTATCTGTAATCTATGCAGCAACATGAAATTATTTCCAATTAAATGCAATATTTTTATTAATTACCCGTTGAAAATGTACATCCTCGCTAGCATGGAAACTAAGAATAATGTTAATACAGCAATTCCCATCGAGTAAACTAAAACTAAAATGTTTCCCATTGGCAGGAGATATTTTTGAAAGTGATTTGTGACGTAAATGATATTTATATTTAAGTAGTGTCACCAAATATGAACGCATAAGGCATACTCAGAAGCCACATTCCAGAGTTAGAAAATTGAAGGGAAAACAAAAATATCTTAATGGAGGGCGTCAACGTCGCTCACTAAAGGATGTCTTTATTAACAAACTTCAAAATGGAGTTAGAATCAGGAACAATGAATGGAAAGTGCTGTAGTTTTTTTTTACACTTTCTCTAGTGCAAAACTACCTATACATGGTGAGTGCCCAGATGGACCAGACATTTTTTTGTAAATAGCGAGCTGTATCAGTTGGAAGAGTATACACAAACAAATCCAAAGGACTGGCCAAGGAATGTAATTAATATTCTTCAGAGTGTACATATAAAACTACATGAGCAGAAGCTCTTATAAAAGTACTTATAAAGAAAGACACAAAATACAAACAAAATTTTAATGACATTTTTTAGAAATTTATACCGATGGATGCCATTGTGGAATTACAAACTTTTAAATTGGGGGCATATATGGCTGTTATACATTTTAACAGAGTTTTTAGGCTTACTAGATATTTTAAATTGTATAAGTAATGCAACATGGTGAATATGCAGACGAAATATTTAGTAAGCTCGACAAGGAGCGAGTAAGTAAATCAAAATGTCACTCAAATTGCCACAAAAAACAAATAGGCTGATTAAGGTATCTGGGTGAAGATTTAATAAATATTTTTTTATTATTAAATCTTCACCCAGATATTTTAAACCTTTAGCATTTTAAACAACAAAGCTAAAATATTTAGCATTTTAAACAACACACACAAAGCATTTTAAACTTTAAATACATTTTTCTCAAAAATCTATTTTTTCTAAAAACTTCCTCACTTGGTCCAAGATAAATCAAATTATTAGAACTATATTTTTATGAAACTTTGCATGCTTAATTTATATATAGTTATCTACGTACCAGAATATTTATAAGTTAAATATTTTTGAAATTGTGGCCTGTTATTTAAATAATGGCATCGTGAATTTATCGAAAATCTCATTAAAAAATTTTAAAATTTTGAATTTTTTTTATTATTTAAGATATCCTTAAAATTATAAGTCATTCCCTAGATAAAAGCACGTAATTTATTACTGTATGACTTCTTTTAATATAACTTTAATATTTTTTCATATAGAATGTTTCAAATTGTTTTAAGATTTCACATAAATTTAATATTTTTTGCAAGATAATAATAGTATATATTAAATTTTGATATTCCATAATTAATCTCTGTAGATAACAAATGAGAAAATGTGTTTATAGTACATTTATACTGTTTCTTTGAATGCTCCGAACGTGGTTAGATACCTTAATAGACATGTTAACCCTCTGACTGCTCAATTTGTGGACAAAGCCACTTCAAAAATTGCGTACCTTTTTTTCTTTTTGCATATTTTGAATCTATATATATTGGAGAATTGAAAAATGTATTTTTACTTTCTAGAAAATATTTTGTACATAGATTTTTATCATGAGAAACTAAGTTGCCAGAAAAACTAATTCTAGATGTTATCACAAAAAATAAATAAATAAATAAATTTCAGTCAAATTACAGTTAATTTCTATTTATTGCACAATATAAAAAAGTAAAATGTATAAAATTTAAGAAAATATAAAGCGGAGGGGAAAATACCTTAGAAATGCCGTTTAGTCTGATAGAGTTCAAAACAGGGTTTAGGAAAGGCAAAGTCCAACTTCACAGTTTTTGCACCAGATTCAATAAATCTAATTAATAATCAATCTAATTATTAATTCAATAATTTAATTAAATAATCAAGATAATCGCTGAACGTTTTCTAGCAGCCATTTCTGTAAGAAAAAAGCGGCAAAAAGTGAAGTTTAATACCACATGCCTTCAAATGCCACAATTTAGTGGACAACTAACGATATCTGTTGGCCAAAATGTAAACTAAACGCCTAATACTATAATTTATTTCAATGCTTAAGCGGGGAAAAAACGGGATGCGCTCCTCAATAAAGGAAGAAAAACATGTGCCCGCGGAAATCGCGGCAAGCAAAAAGACAAGTTTTGTTCTGTGCAGGGGTAAAGGGGCAAATTAGAAAAGAAAAGTATAAAGTAAATTTTAGAGAGAAAACTGATACACATTTCAATACTCTGAAATAATAATAATAATAATAAAAAATCTTAACTTGAAAAAAAATATTAGACACATGAAATTAATTTAAGAATAATTACAGAGGTCATTTTGCTTTTGCTAAGACCTGCTTCAGAAACTTTATAGTATTTATTACTATGATTTACAGTATTTTATTACCTTGTTCCTTTTTCAGAATTAAAATATTTCTAAGTTGAAAAAATAAAAAATAATCTCACCTTAAAATATGAATGGAAAATAAGAATGCATTATTTTAATGTTATTTCTCTAAAGTATAATTTTAATACATTATTTTTATGATATTTATTAATGTTATGATGTCTGCAAATACAATGTCGAAAAATGTGCATATCTCTGAATAAAAAATTTTGAATGTACCGTATTTGCCGGCGTATATGACTTTTTTCCTTTGAAAATAGGTCTGAAAAATGAGGTGTGTCTTAACATCGATAACTGCGTCTTATATGTCGATACTTATTGCGTCGATACGTTGTTTGTGAATGGGTCAAAGCTTCATGATGCTGTGAAAGCAGAGACAGTGGTTAAATCATTAAGAAGTGGGGCATTAATAATGCACTGGTTGGTACAGAGGACAATTTGTTGTATGAGGACTCTGATGATTTAGGAGATGTTTCAAATGACTCTTCATTTAGCTCTGGAGATGAGTGTCTGGGTTTTGATGAAGGAGATTAAAAGGTGTTCTTTCCCAGATAGATTGGGTATTTGCAGAAAGTATTACTTATTATTTGTATTACTTTATATTTAAAATACTGTAAATTCATTATAATGAACACTAATAAAAGTTTTATCCTTCAAAAATGTGCATAAAAAAGGATATGCATCTTATACAGCGGCAAATATGGTAAACTGATTTTAAAATTGCCAAAATGTTGATGGATAAGTTGTTACATTTAGCATCATATAACAAAAGAATTCATATCCCCAAAACAGAAAAGCTGTTTTTGGTGTAATATATTACGAAATCTTCAACTGAAAAAAAGAAATAATTTTGAAATGTTTATGTTTTGTTAACATTATAGCCACATGCCCAGAAACTTGAGAGTATCTCATTGTTTATAGTAAAAGCAGGAATGAATTCAAACAGTAACCCATTAAATGCAAATGTTACTGGCAAAGTATGAAATCCAACATTTTATAGAATGCCAAAAACTGCCCGACAATATATGAAATGATTAAGCATTTCACACATTGCCAAATGACAAACCGGCAAAGTAAGAAATACATCTGTGATTCTTTTTGAATAACTGAAACTACTTACCGGAAGTTAATAAACAATATAAAAAGGCCAAAATGACTACTAAGAAGGAACCACAGGACTATTAGTTGCTGAATCGCTATGTGACGCTTGTGGAAAATAAAAGTAAATTCGTTTATCCTATTAAAGAAGGCATCAGTTATTTCATGAAATTTATTTGGCTGTTAGGACATGGAGGACGTGACAGAATGCTGAAGGAAACTAAATACAAAAATGTTACACGGAATGATATTGAACTGTACATTCACCTTTACGAGCTCTGCCAGAAAAAACAAGGTATTAAAAAGAGCATTATTGTGAAACCGATTTTTTAAAATTTAATTCTCATTGTCGGGCAGACCTTATTGATTTCCAGTCAGATACAGAATGTAAATTTATTACTGTATACCAAGATCATCTCACAAATTCTTTTATTTATTTATTTATTTTTGGATTTAGAATAAAAGTTTTTTAATGGCTATTTTTCATAATTTTTCAAAATAACATTGTTGTTTCTCAGGAATGAACATCTTTTAAATAACAGCCTTATGATGACTTTTTTCCATACTTTGCCTAAATAAAGTCTGTAATAATTATCATGCTTCATACTTTGCCTTAAAATGCCTAGGTATTCTACAGAATACCGACGTTTCATACACTGCTGCTAACATATACATGTCAATGAATCGCCAAAACATATTCATTCAAAAATACTAATTCACACTTAAAATGGCAGTAGTAAAAAACAAATCGAAATGTCAGGTAAGTAAAATTAAGGCCCTTTTGCCAATATTGGCCCAAATTAAGGACTTTTAAAAATTGCAGGAACCCTTATTAGTATTTATCACTAGTATGAACTTTAAATATTCTTTGCTATTTTTAATGGCATCAATATAATTCACTGTTAATTTTACAGCTTTGTAAACTTTTTATGGTTGATTCAGCCATTTCACTTCTTACTTCAGACCATATGGTGTGTATTTAATTATGGCAAAGCACACTAGGGCTATCTGCCTAAGAGGAGGGATGCCTTCGTGGAGGACTTTCTAAGGGAAACTGGCTCGTATACACGTTACACATGGGGAAAACCATGAAAACACCCATGCAGCCAGCCCGTTCGTGGGATTCGAACCTCAGACCGAACTACCAGTGTTCAGCGACTTTACCGTTTGGCCGTTGGTGGGCCTTCAGACCATATGATATTCATTAGTGGGAATACTTTCTTGACTAGTGCCAATGTTCCTGGCATGTTGATAATGTATTTTATTTCCTTTGTTGTTGTTGTTGTCTTGTCCATATTACATTGAATAATGGTTGCCAGAGCTTACTTCAAAGAAAGGTTGGACTCCTATTTTCCACCCCCAATTTTGAGGGAGAGCACCCGGTAAGGGGGGGATCCGGGGTCTTCTACCAATCCACACGAGAGGACTTTCGGCTCGCCACATATTTAGAGTGCCGCCATGCCGCAGTGACACTATACATTTACAAACATCCATATCTTGTACGGAATTCGAATCCCAGTTCTTCCGTACAGTAGTAGGCTCTCCTAACTACTATGGGCGACTTTTATTTCCTTTAAATGCTAAGTATGAAAAATTACATATATATTTTTTCATAATTTCTTAATTCACTGATCTTCCCTCCCGAAAAAAAAAAAAAAAAAAAAAAAAAAAAGTGTTTTCCCACAGATCAATGTAAGAAAGAAATGTCTTCATTTTGGGGGAAACATCAAGACAACAGTAAAAGTGCTTCAATCCATACACAAAATATTTAGATTGGCAACAGTAAATATAACAAAAGATATGTTTTAATTGTCAAATTGCTGTTTTAACCAGGCTACACTATTTTTGCTTCTTGTACATTCCCAACTGTTAAAATTTTATCAATTAACTGGGACGAAATGATAAACTGGTTGGTATGCAAGGACTCAGTTGTGAAATTGGGATGTCTGGTAAGCTTAACAATAGTGCATCAAGCCACAAAGTGAAAAATGTTTTAAACTTCTCTAGCTAAAAATAATGCAAAGTCTTTGCAGTACCCAAGAAACAGTCTGTCTAGATATGAACCCAGTCAAAAATGTATCATTAGCTGCAAAAGAAAACTGAGATGACCAAATTCCTTGACTAGAAAGGCAGTGAATAAAATATTATGTTTTAAAATTTGTTTTCAGTAAAAGGAGAACTTTTTACTGGTAAGGAATGATTAACAGAGTGCACAAAATCAGTAGGCCCATATGTGGTACAAAACTGCTTTTGCTTGATTAATAAATACTGCAGAACTACCTACATATTTATATTCAATTAAATTAATAGGTTCTTAAAATTAAGCACTGTTCTAAACTCAATTAAGCGAGGAAAAGACCATTAATCTTGCAAAATTGAAGTATTTATATAACTGAAAAATTATCATATAAACTAGAAATACTGGCCCTCTGTAATGGCCTTGGCAAGAAAGTGAATGGTATTTGGCGCAATTCGGGCTTAAAAAAAGTGCGATTTGTTGTGGAATGTTGTAAATATTTAACTGTGGTAATTGATAAATCAGCAAATCATTCAGAATCTATATTACACCGGTTTTTTAACACACACATATAAAAGAAATTTAATAGACATTTGTGTAAATTATTCTATTTAAACAATTTTGTTAGCAATTTACTTAAAGTAATAACATAATTCAACAGAACTTTTACTATGTACATTAATTATCATACTTAATGCGGTTATGTAAGTAATTTATTTAAAATAACATTTACAAACATGCCACAAAATTCTGTTTAGTATTAAACATATTGTAAAATTCTATTTTTTATTTCATTTAATACAATTTCAGTAACAATTTACCAAAAAAACCATACATAAACATATTATAAAATATACATTTTACCATTTCAGAAATTGCAGCTAATAATGCTTCGAACATCAAATATAACTTCTTTTTCCACTGATGGAGATTAAAAATAATAAGCATAATGAGTATTTTAGGATGAAAAACCATTATATTGACTCTATTCTATTATGAAAAGCCAGTTAGATCATTAACTGTTTGTTTCTTTCACATGTGCAGATCTGTAATTGTCTTTCGCACATGTGGTAAGCATTTATTTCTTGTCAGTGCAGTAATACAGGAAATTCACCTTGTTGCCAAAACTATTACAGAAGACAAATACACTAATAGCCTGATAAATTAGTTTTCTGCTATGTTGGCAGTATAGGAAAATCAGCGACTTAATTTTTTAAACATCCCTTACTTATTCAGAAGTCAAACAACAAAAATCAGCGTTAATTCACAAAATTTTCACAGGACTAGTTTCGATGGTTTTACCGAACCATCATCTTCAGCTGCAAAACCGCAAATGAAAAAGATAGGAAATGATGTTTAGATAAGATAAGAAAGCCTGGACAAGAATAAGCAAGTGGCGCCATCTGTTGGCGAAACCAGAACTAAAACATAATTTCTCTAAAAGCCGAAGGCAAATTTGGATTGGAATTAGGATCGTTAACTAGAACAGAAAGATTTTTATGAATGTGAAATGCCCTCTAGAAAATCCAGTTCTCCAATGGAAGATGTTTTTTGAATAATTTTGGCAGCAGAAAAATTGAAAGTGTGATTTTCGGACCAACAATGTTGAGCAACAGAAGACTTCTGTGTTTCCTTTTTTCCTTTTTTCTAACATATGCCTCATGTTCTTTGACGCGAAATTTTAAGGCTCTCTTAGTTTGGCCAATGTAAATTAAACCGCACTGGCAAGGAATCCTATAAATACCCCAGGAATTCATATCCGGAATGGGGTCCTTGAGTATAGAAGTTGGAATTTTATTGATGGGAGAGTAAACAACAACCCGAAAGTTAAATTTCTAAATTTCTGCAAAATATGTGCAACTTTATAGCTAATTGATGGAAAGAAGGGAATGACAACAGAATTTTTATAATCTCCTAAAATAAGAGTGGGGGGGCTTTTAGTGTGTTGAGATGAGAATTTTTTAACTGCTTGATTAATAATGTTGGGTGAAAAGCCCCTGTCAATAGCTATTGCTTTTAAATAATTTAGTTCTTCATCAAGGGCTAGTTTGGAGGAGCAAACTTGAAGAGCACGGAAAACATAGGAATAAAATGAAGCTAACTTTTGTTTAGTCGGATGACATGATTTAAAGTGTGGTGGAAGGCAAACCGATGAAGGTTTACGGTAAACTGTAGTACTGAAGTTGGATGTGTTACGTGTGACCAGAATGTCGAGAAACGGAAGAGAATTGCAAGTCTCAAGTTCAAAAGTGAACTGAATAGCAGGATCAATAGAATTCATTGTTGAAAGAACTCTATCCCTTACTTGTTGCACTGTGCCATTTAAATATTATACAATATAGTATTCTTTAAATATACATACATGTGAGAAAACAATCGAGATTGACCGAATATTCCACTTAACAGAAGATTTTCCAGGATTTTTTAGAATCAACAGAGTTTCTGAAAAATAGAATAAACTTTAGATAAATGCACAAACAAAACCCTCTAACAGCACAAAAGTTATACTAAATTTCTAAATTTACTTTAAAGAAGATAAAAATAAGTCAACAAATTTTATTTATAAATTAATAGTACAGATTATTTTTAAATGCCAATAGACACAGCATTTGAAAAATATTTTAACATAACTTTGCTGTAAAAATATTTACTTGCTTCCCCACAAATCAGTCGAATTCCATTCCTGTTAACATTTTTAGTTTATGTAACTATAAAGTTAATAAATACATTTAGTCAAGAAATTAGGCAGCACGAAAAGGGATCAAACAGTTCATTACGATTACCATGGTGTTTTAGTAATTTAAACAAATTGGCATAACCACAGAGTATGAAAAACTATTTTTTTTGGCACTTACAGAAGCAAACATGAACACAACTCCCATTTAAATGTTTTGCATTTTAATTTTTAGTATGAGTATAGACTTTTACCAAATCGAATTGTTATTTTTACAACTTTTTTTTTAACCTTAAGAATACCAAAACATAAATTATTTAAAACGCTTGTGCAGCTAAAAATATATATAGTCAAAAGTCTTTAATCCGGACTCGTCGGGAATTCGGTGATTCCGGATTATAGATCATCAGTTTAAATCTGGTAAGATGGCATGCAGAAATTATAAAATTAAAAATATGAAACCGTAATTTATAAATAATGAGCAATTATGATCTAAAGTGTATCAAAAATTTACAAAAAAAAAAAAAAAAAAAAAAAAAAAAAAAAAAAAAAAAAAAAAACTTAATATTTATTTGTTTACTTTATTAAACATTTCTTTCAACGCGCGCATGCATAAAGCATACATTATGCATAGCCGAAATTAGAAAATTGCAACCAGAAATATTTTTGATTTGTATTCGTGATATTTATAATGACGAAGAATTTGATTTAAATCATATCAAAGATGAAGTACATAGAGATGAAATACTACATTTAATAAGGAATTATAAGTCGAATAAAATAAAAACATCTGCCTTGAAGATAACGATAGTGTTGACAGATCAACTTCCAGTTCATTGCACGCCGCGACGTTCCCTCCCGCGCAGAGCAGCGTGAAATTGATAAACAGATTTCGGAACGGTTAGATAAACAAAGGATATGCCTTTATCCATTTCTTGGAGCAATTCCACTTTTTGTTTGATGGACATCGAAACATACTTTCGTTTTCGTAGATCCTTTGCGAGCTCCAGCATCGGAAATTCTATTTGACATAATCGAAAGTTCAAGCTTACTTTTATAAAATTGCTCTTACAGTCTGCAAAAAATAATAAGCCGGATCCAATTCGAAGATTAAGGAACAACGCAATCATCAACATTAACTGAAATAGATAATTAGATAATTTTAGCTTATACCGTCCGTTATACATTAAACGCGCAGCGAAAACGTATTCTGCACTTGTGCACACGCAAATGCGCAGTCGTAAAAGTCTTAAACGTCTATGCGCATGCGTCAACGTGGCGCATACGCAGAAAGTTTTTAGCTTTGAGGTCCGGATTATAGATCATTCCGGATTATGGGTGTCCGAATTAACGACTTTTGACTGTAATTATGACCAACAGTTGCAAAAACAAGGCCATATATATGGGGTTATGTACATGATGTAAAAATTAGCTTTATAAGCTTCACCATTATTTAAAAAACATAACATTCAGGGTTTACAAATTCCAGGAAAAGTATTGAATTCATTTAATTAACATAAGCTTAAAAATTATGACTTTTTTAAAAGTACTTAAATATGAAAATATATAGGAATAGAGGCGATCAAATAGGAATGAAGGTGCTTACGGAATATGCCTATATATTAAACCTGTCTGGTTTCAAAATAGTCTTTAATAATTGAAATATTTGAGCTAATTTAGCTTAATTTAAAATAAGTGTTCAATGCGTTTTAAGAGACAAACAGCTCAGGTTCCCATTTTAGCAGTAAATTGTTCTAATAGACAAAATATTTAATATCTCAAACCCAGACTATGCCATTTATCTTTCTAAATATGAGATTTTTGTTCAAAATCAATATAAAATAAAGGTAGAATTTCACAAGTTAGACAGCTAGTGATTTTAAAAGCAATAACAATTCCAGTCTTTAAAAGTTAATCAATTGTGACTATAAAATGAAACCTTTTACAGAACAAAATATGAAAATAAAGTAGAAGAGCCAGACTGCTGATGCAATGACACACATCAGGGAATAAAGTGGTGGAAAATTTATCTTTTTTATAAAATCTTATTACATGGTAGTTTGCTGTGTCTAGTAACCCATGTATCTTTCAATTATATATATTTTCAAGTATTTACATTATTTGATATAGACTCAAGATAGAAGTCTTTCATATGCTTTAGGATAGATTGTTCAAATATGGCAAAGCCAAGATGGCTATCTGCCTAAGAGGAAGAATGCCTTCGTGGAAAGCTTTGTGATAGAAACTGGCTTGTAGTCATGTTACACATGGAGGAAAACCATAGAAACCAACCCCTTCTCCTTGGTTTGAACCCTCAGCTAGGTCGAACTATAAGGATTCAATGACCTTAACCACTTGGCTATTGGTAAGCTCTTTCATACATATTAAGTCCGAAATTAAAATTGTACTGCCTCCAGCCAAACACAGAGTTTATGAAATAAAAATAAGCCTGTAACATAAAGCTAATTTACATGACATATATAAAAAAGCCACACATGGCCTTTATTTTTTAAACTGTTGGTCATAATTATGTATTTTCGATTACAAAGATGTTTAAAATGATTTATGATTTGACATTCTTAAAGTTAAAAAATCAGTTTTATAAAAATTATAAAATCTAACCTTTTATATAGCCCCTATTCAATACAAGTCTATACTAAGGGTTCTCAAAGGGGGTGGGGAGGAGATGTGTTCCAGGCCTTTATTTAACTGTTAAGTATTTAGCTTTAATTTATAACTAAACAAAAAGGAAACATTTATTCAAATTCTACTACTTATCAACATTTTCTATACTTTTTTTTTGTTTAATTTATAAAAACAAGTTAAATGCAATCTAAATAAATGTGTATATGAATTGTTCGAATTTTGGAATGGAAGGAGGGGTGATCTTCTAGCAATGGTGAAAAGGTTGCATAGGGCACAACAGGTTGAGAACCACGGTAAATACAAATCATTTAAATCTTAAAAGTAAGCTGATCAATGCTTTTCATGAAATCTGCATAGCAGAGCTCCTCACTTATTCTCCTAACCCAGATAAAAGTAGTAACTTTATCACAGAGGCTATTCGTTTTTGTGCCCAAGCCTCAATTCCTTGAGAAAAAATGAGAAATTATATCCTTTTTGGTCTGCTGAGTATTCTGAACTGTAGAAAAAATGTCCTGATGACTGTTTGCAAGCTGAACTTTTTGGTGACTTAAAATCGCATGTAACTCTTCGTTGTTCACAGGCAGTCATTAAGAGAGAAAAAAAAGATTTTCAACAGAGAAAAAGCCTTAGTCTCTAGTAAATTTTATACCTCAGTATGCAGACTTCCCGTAAAAACGGACTAGACTTCCTTATCAGCCACCGCCTGGACGTCTTGGTTATGATGAAGAACTTCTTTTTAACAGTGATTTTACTCTTGATGAGCTCTACAGAGATATGCATCAGACAAAAATGGGTAAATGCCCTGGACCTGATGATTTGCCGAGTGAATTTTTCATTAAACTGGGTAAAAAGGCCAAACAAACTCTTCTCACTTTTTATAACATTACTTGGAAATTTTATGATCCCTCACAGTGGAAAAAGGCTAACAGACCAATTTACTTAACAAACAGTGGTAAATTAATGGAACGAATGGTGAATAATAGACTAAAATTCTATCTGAAGGACAATAAGATTCTCTCGGACCCGCAGGCTGGTTTCTGTAGGAAACTTAATGCTATGAACAGGCTGAACTGTTTTCACAATGTATTAAAGATGGATTTCATAATAAACAATCTACACTTGCTGTCTATGCCTATAATAAAATATAGTGTAACTGATTGAGAAGATGATCTTGGCCTGTGTCGGGGGAAATATGCTAAATTGGCTTAAATCAATAATTTCCCAACAAATAGCCAGAGTTAAATATCTAAATCTATCCTGTCTAAAAATGGCTGTATGCTACCCCAGATACATTTTCCTCTATCCAACCATCAGTTTAGTTTTGAATTAAAAGAGAAAAGAGGACCAACTCTTAAAACAAAAGTATAAACTCCTTTTAACTGATAAAGTGTGGAAAATTCTTGTTTTTTTTTTTCCCTTCTATCCCAACGGACATGCTCCATGCAGTTTTTACAGCAAATTTTCAACTCTTGACAGGACATGACTTTCTATACAAACACTTGCACTGCATTGGTGTAGTTGCTGGTGATGTCTGTTCTCTTTGTCTGTCGGGTGAAAACATGGAATTTCTTTATTGGACAACTTGCACGGCACTTGATTTTCTGATTTTTAATTCTGACAACTTTACCATGGCTAAATTTTACTGGGCTGCCAGAAGTATCATGGCAGATATCACTACAGACTGACATAAGATTTCCTTTTTAGTTACATATAAATGCAAAAATTCGATCTTCAGTCTATGTACAACTCTGGAATATGATCACAAAATTTAAAATCTCATTAAATTTTTCCTATAAGAGAGTTAAACTATTATTTAATTTAAAAAAAAAACATTTACTAAATGTAATTATAAGGTGCAAGAGATGGTCTAAAAGTTCATATTTCATAATGTTTACAAAGTCAATCATTTAAATTTAAAATTGCACAAACACAAAAGCATTTTCATTATTAACACAGTTTTGGCATGATTTTGGCCGACGGTTCTGAAAATAGTGGTCTCATTAGGACTTCTGTGAACATTGATATATAATGAATTTGAAGCCCATTTATGTATGGAATACCCTTTTTTCTTTCAAAGTTTCACGGAATTTAAATACAGGCATCTGATATTCAAGCTGATAACAAATAAAATATCTTTTATACTTTTAGATTGGAAATCCCCCCCCCCCCGTTTATTTGGCTTTCCTACCATGATTTACATTTTTTTATACACTTAATTACCTGGAATTCGGCATTTCACGAGCTTTCTGCATAGTCGAGCTTTTACTGTACTCTGAAGATGGCAATATGAGGAGTTTTAGATAAGAAATATATATATATATATATAAACATTCATTATTCTTACCAGATGGAATTTTAGGTAATGTAGCTTCCAGATGAATATGTGTTGGAAAATTATAGATATTTTCTACAACTACAGATTTTGCATTGATTGGCTGAGTTTCTTCTAAGGCAACTGTTTCATCATTTAAGAAAGCACTTTTTAGAATTTCATCCTCAGAATCCAATTGACTTATTTTAGCAGAACTTTGTTTTCTCTGCTCTTTTATCACTTTGACAGGAACAGTCTGGGAGGGTGGGAAGAAAAATCAAATATATAAGCAATATTTTCAAATATAATTACATCACAGAGCTGATTACTGAGAAATATTATGTGGCAATTTATATACTGTCAAGTGGGTTATCAACATAATTCATACTTATAACAAAAGACAAATACATGGGTTGGCCACCTGTTATTACAACAATAGATGGCCTACATCGTATTTTATATATGGCCTGGCAGGTCACCTGTTGCAAGAATATCCTTCTTTCTTCATAAAATCTGTTATCTAACAGATGGGCAAATGTTGTTTCAAATGAAAAATACATAAAATAAATCGTTTTTCCTTCCATTTTGAAAATAAATGCTTTTTATTTACCACACACACACACACACACAAAAATCTAATGTGTACACCACATGACTTCCTTGTACGGAATATTAAATTATACGCATTTTTTCTTGCATTTCATTTAAACTTATTGGATTGAATTAAATCTACTTCGCCGACAGCGCATAAACCACAATAGAATAAATGCATTCTTTAAATTTCACTCTAGTATTTGTTTACCATAGCAATACTCTGGCGCTAGATTCACTTAACATTATTAATAACTATATAACAGTTAACTCATATAATAATTATCTAACAGAAACCAAGTTAACTGTTATATAATCCAAATAATTATATAACAGTTAACTTATATATTTCATTCATATTATAACTCAAAATGCACAAAATTTATATCATTTAAAGAATAGAATTATCTAATCGTTGCCACATGTTTTGTTCAAATACTATAATAAAGCTAGAATGATGTATAAAAGAAATTAAGCAAACAAAACAAAAAAGAAACAGTTTTTCACAGACGATTGAGTATTTCTCATTTAATTCATTCAGTTCTCACTTCGCGAGGAGGCAAACATACATAAAAACTCAAAATATCTATATTAAAAATTACGAAGTAAATCTTAAACACTTTTTTCCTCGAAAAAAATTCCAGAAAGAATTAAGTATGATTTAATTGGCAATAATAAATGAATGCTTTGTTGTTCCGAAGCTAAGTTTCTCTAGATTGGCAACAAATCCTTTAGTCTCCTGTTTCAAATGTAAACATCAATGGCCACCATTAAAAAAAAAAAAAAAAGGCTTAGAGGCACTTAGACAACTTTAAAATTGTTGATAATTCTAAAAATATTGCATACAGATTTACTAAAGGCATAAAAACCTTAACTGGAAGATTAAAAACAACATGATACAATCATTTTTAAAACAAAAAATGTACAATTTACAAACATATAAGAGTAAAGAAACTGAGATCAATCACTGAGCCGGGTAACAGAGTGGATATATATATAAATATATTTATATACGTTTGGTGCGGCCGATTACAACCAAAATACGAGGTGCACATCTACATGTTATAGTAGTCCTATATACAAAATTTCAATGTTCTGAGGCTACTCGTTTTTGAGCTATGCGAGATACGTACGTATGACGTACGTACATACGTTCGTACAGACGCCATGAAATATTCTCTTCAGAATTAATCTTAAAGCAGTTGAAGTTAATAAAAGCAATAACAAAGCAAAGCAGGGAATGAGGATAAGACATTGATCTAAGACAGTTGCTAAGACAGAAGACAAATATGCAAAAGTAAAGTAGAAAATTAGCAAAGGAACAATCTTGTGTTTGGCATATACTTTAATCAAGGTTCTTCTTCATCAAGAGTAAAGAAATCTGGAATGAAGGGAAAGCCACAGTTGTATATATACCTAAAAAAAGTGAAGTGGACAGGAAGGTAGTGCCATCTGTCGGCAAAAATAGTTACGAAAACTGGAAAACTAAGCTAACAGAATTTTAAAAGAATTAGGAATGTGTGAATTGGAATTAAAGTCATTAACTAAACAAGATAAATCTTTCTGAATGTGAAAAGCATCAAGAAACAACGAAGGAAGTTTTTTGGATAATTTTTGCATACCCAAAGTAATGAAGATTCTTAAATACGATCGATATAATCTTTCAAACTCTATTACATAATGAAAAAATAAAAACATGTAATTAAATTCAATTTCACTTGGCTAGAATGAAGAAAAAGCGATCTGGAGAACTGCAGTTCTCTACATCAAAATGATTTCGTAAATTCGGTAAGGCTTACTCATAATTTTAAATATTCCAGATCAGTTCAAAGACATGAATATGCATAATCATATACACCACTTTATTTACGATAAAGAGAAGATAGATGGAAAACTTAAAAGTTCCTCCTTTTTAAAATATAAACTTTTTTCTTAAATACTGTTTGCCATTTCAACAATTGTTTCATTTTATAAACAAACTTTCTATCATGCTGCCTACTCCTTTGTCAAAAACAGAAATGCTTTTGTTCCTATTTGGCTTCACTGAATTAAAGATATTAATTGCCATTGCATAAGCACAAATTAAAATTCTAGTTGTTTCAGTTAAATACCTCTTATTTATTCAAATATTAAGTTACCACATTTCCTAGCATATTCCTCCCTCCAAGGCTTTTAGTTCTGAAAATTTTAAAGATATGTGCATCATTTTCCCCTTCTGATATTATGCATAGTTTTTAGAGGGTGCATACACATTTCCGTGCATGGAAATCAAGTACTTTTAATGACTATTAATGAAAAAAGTTAATGACCTTCTAGCAAATGTAAACTGAAAAATTCAAAGATATTATCTATGCCTGAACTTCACTTTTGCAATACAATGCTAAAAATAAAACAGATCAGTAAGTAGGATACATTATTATTAAATATAATTTAATAAACATAATTATAAAACAAATTTGAGAATAAAGTCAGCTTTGTAAAATTTATCAAGTAGTATTAAATATTTTGCACTTGACATATTTTAAAGAGGATCAGTGACGTTTAATTTACTTTTTAACAACAGTTACCTTCATATTGATTTTTTCTTTTATGTCTCGTTTTGTCACATATGTTCAGGCTAGAAGTTTAGTAAATAAGAAGCAGATTTTACATCAAACAGCATAGGTTAAAATGAAATCATAATCAGCGTGATCTATAACAGAGATTGGCTGTTGAAACTGCAGCTGCTGGCCTAGAGAGAGACCTGCCGATCAGAACAGACTCGAAAGCCTGATGTCGGCAAGTTTTGAAAGTTGTGCTCTGTCTGTCTGATGCAGTTGTCGTAGCTTCACGTACAATTCCTGGACGTGTAATCCAGTTAATATACTTTAAGGTTCCAATAAGCCAGTACAGCACCAGAGGTGATAAGTTGCTTTGTATTATTTTAAGTCTTATTAATTGTAAGGAATAAGGTTTACATTAATTTTTATATTTTTGAGTTGTATCTTAACACCATTGTAAGGATTAATGAAAGGCAATAATCCACTTTAAGATGCAGAATTAACTTTTAAGAGTGAACAATTAGTTACAAATAATTAAATTAAGTAGTTAGATATCCTTAGTCATTACAGATTTACATGGCCACTATTATATTTTATTTATTTTTTAAAAATATTTGTTAAAAAAGTACTATTAAAATCACAACCTAATAACACTTCACAGTTTAAAATACATGCAATTTATGACATTCATTTTTAAACGATATTAGGATAATTACACATTAAAAGTTACAAAACATTTATGTTTTGTAGCAATAACAACAAAATATTAATTTTTTTTTTTTTAAATTTGAAAATTTTCCAGATAATTTGACTAATTTATATCAATTTTCTTTTCTTTAAGCATCTTTTCTAACAATAATAAATTTGCTGAAAAATGCAAACCACTGTTTTGTTTCATCTCATATCTTCTCAATGTCTCGACAATATAGCTATGGGGTTTTACTTGATCTGGTAAAAGTTAAACAGTCCGAAACTCTTAACAGATGTGAAGCAAATTTCCTCCCTGTCTGAAAGTTAACTACAAAACCAGATAAAGATTTGAACAGAAGTTAGAACATAAATGAATGTTCTTATGCTAACAAAATCAACTATAGCTCGAGGTGATGTAACTAAACAGGAACAGTCAAATTCAAATTAAAAATGTAGACTATTAGTCAAATACTAGACAATTTAATTTGATCTAAAACTAGCTCAGTAACTCTATCATCATATCAAATTCAAATGTCAGACATAAAGCCGAATAGTTACAAATTTACCAGGGATGGCAGGAACTAATTTAGCATGCAAGCAGAGGCGAGAAACATGCTTTGAACAAGCCAAAAACCTTACCTTAAATACTATCTTAAATATTTGCATTTTAGTGAGAAAAAGAAAGGAAAAGTTATTGTAAAGTCTGTAATTATAAACAATTGGTTAATTCCCATAATTGTACATGAATAAATAATTAGTTAATTTACATAATAATAATTGTACATATGTTAAAGAATAATTTCCCCTCTCTTTATGCATTCAGTTTCTTTCCTCAACAAAATTCCTCTCCACTTTACAATTTTTGGATTTCATTAATGATTTTTGTTATTCGAAAAAATTACATGTATTTAGAATGCACATGTTTATTTTGTTAGTAATATGAATGTTGAGAATAAATATGAACGGTCAGGGCCGGTTACAGAGCTGCTGAGACAGAATTTTCAGGTTTGAGTGACACACCAAGTAACAAAATCTAGAAATGGCAAAACATTTAGAATTCAGGACAGGCACTGGGAGAAGAATTTAGGGAGGCACCAGGCAGCAGAATTCAGGATCCACAGCATCGAGACATACAAGATGAATTTTTTAAATTGTCAGTTTTCAATTTTTTTCAACAGAAAAATTCCTTTTTATAGATGCCTGTCAATGTGATAAGATTAGAAGCATTTTTGATAATTTCCATGCTTGTGTCAAGTGAAAAGAAGATAAAATAAAGGGAAGAAAAACATTAAGAAAACGGCTTCTAGGATCAGAAGTTCAAATATTCAAATGTTTTCATTTTCTTCCAAAAATGCTTCCAAAAGTAAGAAATTCATCACAAATTTCTCATACAATACATCCATTACATCCTAGTTCCAGGAAGACATTTTTCATTTTACATTTTTCTGGAATCTTCTAGAATCATAGCTCTAAAAATCTTTTGTTCCCCTCTTCTCCTTTGTTCCTCTCAGGAATTTTGAGAACTCCTTCAAGTGAGGTGCCCATGGAGCTTTACAGTGTAAATAAGAAATCTCAATTACCATCGATATCAGCTCAAATATTGTGATATTAATATTTATTCTTATGAGATTGCAGGTTTCTTTTAAATAAATAAATACTGTGACAATTACCAGTAGTTGACTTATGACTACTTTTCATTTGTTATGTTCTCATTGTAAATTTGATAAAGCCCAAAATTTTTCCCTTTTGATTTTCAAACAATAAAATTAGTTTAAAAAGTGGAAAAATACAAAATACTTTAAAAGATGAAACGTATTTAATTTAGTAGCATAAACTAATGACTATCTGCGAATATGGGAAAGATAAAAGATTTTACTGTATGTCTCCTCAGTCACATAGTTATTAATATGTTTTCCCCATTTAAAAAACATCAATAAAGCCATATTACCAATACAAATTACTACAGGTAATACAGATAAGGAATATAATTGCATTCTTAAAAGCAAATAAATAATATTTATGCAGCAAAATTTCAAAAGTAGTTAGTTATTTGTAAAATAAAAAAAGTAATCAAAATAAAATTAGATGCCAATAAATAATAAATAATTTCTCATCATTTCCATACCAACTAAATCTCCGAAAGCTTATAAATAAAGTTTTTAAATTCTTAAACTTTTTAAAATTTTTAATGAGGTTCTGACATACCTTTTCACAGCTCCCACAAAAGATCTTGATATGGCCTTCATAATCTTTGCTAAGTTTTGTCAGAGAATGGGATATTATACTTATACGCAAACCTAACTGTCCACTTAAAATATAAAAAAAAAAATAATAATAATTAGAAAAATTATTACATGATTTTAAATAAAATTATAAAATTAAATGAACAAAATGAATTAAAAAAAAACAATCAAGAAACAATATCTAGCACTTTTTACTTCCAAGTAGAGAAGTATTGTTGCTGTTAAAAATTTTTGTTACCCGATTTCTATGGAAATACCCATTTTGACTTTTTTTTTTACATGACATCTGTATGTACAGACCAATTAAAAGACTTTTCATTTGAAAATAGATTTTTTCATGACATCTCTACATGTGTACATATTTTGCATAACTCAAAAGTGATTAGCAATAGAATGTTGAAATTTAATATATGGGGCTGATATAACATCTAGTAATGCACCTTCCTTTTCTCATAGCAACCAGCAAGCAGTACCAAAAGTATATATATATATGTATATATATATATATATACACACACACACACACCTTTACCCAGCCTTTAGTTTGGCAATCGTTGATCGTAGGTATATGCTTCAATTACAGAAGGGTTTTAAATAATGAAAATATTCCCATTTTAACTATGTCAAATTAAAAAATTTATTTCTGACAAATAGCGATAACATTTAACGTGGCCTTCCGGTTCCTATACTTATATTTAAGAAAGTTTTATACTTGTTATATATATATATAAAAACAAGAAATTTGAACAATGGAAATGATTAATTATAATTATGTGTGTTTTAGAAGGAGTAAAGATAAGTAATTTATGATGTAAACTTATTTCCATATAGTGAAATTTTTTTTATTAATAGCACTTAATTACAATTACTGTATTTTTCATTTTAATTCTTTCTAGCGCAGGTTAGGAAATTTAAAAAAAATATTTGCCTAACTCCCCCCCTGCCTAAATACCTTCAAAAAACGAGCTCCCTTAAATTTTAAAATGGATTTGTCTCTGTAATGATTTGTTTTCATCTTACTAGCAAAGACAGAGTCTGGCAAACTACCTGTGAAAGTCATATCAAACCTTTCCCTTCTAATTGTTGAACATCACACGAGCCTAATATGAGAACTGACCCATCAAGTGGAAATAAGCTCGAATTCTAACTATGATTTTACCCAGTTGATTGCCCAATTATTTTCTTTAATTATTTATGGATGATCTGAAGCCTAATGAGTAGCAGAGACAACAGCAAGAATGGCCGTAGAAATGAAGATAATCTTACATGGTAATGTAGGTTTTGTTTAAAGAAATAATATTATGACAGTTTATTCATGACTACTTTTCATTTATTATGCTTTTACTGCAACAGCATCCTCCAGAAGTTAAAAAATACGCATAATTTTCCCTTCTCGATTTTCAGATAATAAAATTAGCAAAAATAAGAAGAAAACTATATGAGGAAATATGGTAAATCCTTGAAATCATCTTTCTAAAAAACTAGACTTATTATGCATTTCTTTTGGCAGATGTGATACTGCTAATAAAGGCTTTTGAGATTCCAAAGTCAGTTTTTACAACTTTTTTTAGTAGTTTTCTGATGGGATCTGATACAGTGAACCGAATTTTCTATCCCTTGAAAAACATTATAGCACAATTTGATTATGATTCAAATTCTGTTAAACTATCCAATATAAAGTTAAAAAGTTTTGATATTCTTACTAAGCTGAAAGAACTCCACTAACAGGCGAAACACTAATTACATCAACGTTCCACTGAACTTTGAACCTAAAAATAAAAATAAAAATAATTTTAAATAAAAGTGGGGCAAAAACGGACTTAAAGTAAGTAAAGATGTTTAAAGAAATAAACACTTTACCGTAAGTCATTACTTGAGTGACTGATAAGCAAAATTCTGTTATCTTTGTTTATTGTCTCTACAACTATTTCCTCAGGTTTCACAGTCCAAAAGTCATTCACAATGCCTTCTTTCATAATGTTTGGAACAGACACCACAGAAGACAGCTCTTGAGAATTCAAATGATTTTGTTTAGGTATTTTTCTGATGGCTCCTCCAGCAGATTCTCTGACAGATCTTGCAGATGAGAGTTCCTGGGGAATAGTTATGTAATTTTCATTGGATATTTTTCTGTTTGTTCCTCTAGCAGATTCATGATCAGACACCACAGGTGACAGTTCTGGGGAATTAGCACAAGCATTTTCTTCGGGTATCCTTCTGACAATCTCTCTAGCAGATTCCTTGACAGGTGGAGAATGAGCGAGAGTAGCTGAATTCAAATATCTGCAAATATATTATTTATATCATGCAAAACAGATCATAGGGATATAAGTGAAATTGACAAAAGGTATTATTTTCTTTAAAGTTTCGCAAATTCAATAAACAGGCACATTGGCTCACATTTGCTTTCAGACACTTGTGTTTTGCGGTTTTATTTACCAGTATCAGTTATTAAATATCAGCAAAATGACTATTTTTTTTTCACATCTACTACATATTATCTATTTGAAAACCTGCTTATTTTCAAAAAGAGTTGCCTGGATGTTTTGCTTAAAAAATAACTTATCCAAAATGATTTGAAAATGAACCTGCATAAGTGTTCAGACATTTTGAACAAATAGCTTATATTTAATAAACACATCAACCAACAATCAGTATTTCCTTGGATATCCGTATGCCAAGATTATACTTTTCATGCATTTAGTGTTGATTCAAATGTCATTTAGTATTGATTCAAATTTGAGCAAGAATTCCTAAGAGAGAACTGATTTTAGTAGAGCTTTCAAAGAAGTATCGTTTCTTTAGTCTTTTCTCCAACTCCCTCCATACGTGTTCCTCAGGATATCACATCTGAATATGGAGAAGTTTTGACAACTTCAAGACAGTCATATTATAAGCACAAGCAAACATTTAGAGCTGTAGATTTAAAACGGTTGTTATGACAGAACTTGAATGTATTTTGTTCTTGCAGAAGTTTCCTAGTTTCCTTGCAGATGCTTTCAGGTTTTCATTAAATACTTATATATTTATACTAATCCATATTATTTTTGACAAAAACTAAGTTTCTAATTATAAAGGCAGCTAAACATCCGAAATTATTATATGTCTGTACACCAATGGATAACATTAGGCAATACATTTTTCGAATTTCAGTTTTGCCATATATTAATTCGTATATAGAATTGAAATACAGTGGAATTCCAGAAATCCGCAAAGCTTGCAAAGACCAGAGGTTGTGCAGATTTCAGGACAGAAAAGATAAATCATAATATTCGGACTAAAAGTGCAAAATGAATAAGGCGTATTAGATACATTTAATTAAATTATTATATACATTACTGCAATAATTTATTATATGCATTAAATTATTATTACATATATAAATTGAATTATTTATAGTAACTCAGCATCGAGGTTTGCCGATTTCGCCTGATGCAAAGATTTCCGTGTTAGAATCACTGTTGCTGTAACATTTCAACAGCTTTTCTTTATTTTTCCGTATATCATACACAATCGTGTCGCAATTCCATACCATTCTGCTATAAATCGAGGAGTAGCACCTGCTTACATCTTTTGCAGAATTTGCACTTTTTGTGTTACCGTCAATGCAACGTGTTTACATTTTTCAACATTGCAAGCAGTAAAATCACGAATGCGTTTCTTATCTGTCATTGTATTAAAAAGGGCCGAAATTTAAAATATTAACTTATCCACAAAATATCCGAATGAAAAAAAGGCAGCTTTAAACAATTTCGTGAAATGAAATAACAAAGCTCAGAAAATACAACAACATGAAGCGTGAACTTGAACAAAGTGTTGAGTGAATCGTCTGCTTTTTTACCTCGATGCAGATTAGAGGGAAAAAAACTTATTTATCTTATTTTTAAACTTTTTTATATCAATAATTTGGTACTTCCGTTTTTGACTCATTATTATTCGGTAAGTATTTTTTTCTTCGATATTTCGTACTCAATATTGTGGTTTCCAGAACCTATAAATTGAATGTTTATATTCTGAGAGGCAACGCGGTTTTCAGGTCGGCAGATTTTTGGTATTTGACTGTATTGATTTTTCTGCAAATATAACCTTGTCTCAATATGATATAACTTTGCTTATTATAGATTTTACAAACATCAAGCATATTTCTCTTGTTAAGTAAGAATTTCCTTCTTGCTGATCGCCATTTTATGCATCTAACCTCAGTGATTTCTCTAAAAGTTCAGGATGAATTTTCATAGCAAATCGTTCTGCTAACAGGGTAGTCACTCAAATACAAGAATGAAATTCTGTGACTTTTGCATGTTTTTCAGGTGTGTTTCAAGAAAATTCCAGGCTATCTGCTTGGGCTGTCCTGAGGGTAAATTAATTATGGTACCATTTGAAAACACAAAAATTTCGCAACTACATATGACACACACACATTTATGCATATATATAATCCCCAAAGCATTACTTTTATAACTATAATAGGAGAGAGTTATAGAGTTAATTCTCCACTGAGGATTGAGATTAGAATCTGTGAAATCGGGATTAAAAAATGCCATTTTTGCAGACATCTTGCAGCTAAAGAAAGAAATCTATTTAATGATATTTTAAAATAAATTCAAGTATTTTAAATTTATTAAGTTACACATAAAGTAAAAAATATGTGCACTAAATTTCATGATGGTATACTGCTAGAATTAGTTTCACAAGTATGCCAGAGAAAAGTGCTCGAAATTTGATGTATTATTAACTAATAATAAATAAATTCAGACAGAAGAAGACACATTATATGATACGAATAACATTAAAATAAATTATTTAAGGATTAAAAACTGAATTGCAAAAATTGGCGGCATTTTGGCGAATATAGATGTATTAAATGGTTAGCCCAGATCAGGGGTTTCTCAACTAGTGGTCCCCAAGGAAAAAATAGGTGAATACGAAGAATCAAAGTATCTTTAACTGTTAAATTCAAAAATTAAAACCCCATCATAGTAATTACGTTTTTTCTCTAACACTTGTAAATTTATGCGATCTGAGCTTTGTTTAAGAGTGGTGGTGGTGGTAGTACGTTGTACTGGTGGTACTAAAGTTTTCAATTTTTATTTAGATGGTATGCATTAGTCAAAAAGTTGAGAACTGCTGGCCTAGATGACTGATTATTATTATTATTTTACTGCAAAATGACAAATAAGGCATTTAAGAAAGAAAAAAAAAAGTTTAAAGGATTTTGTTTTACACAAGAATGGGGGGAATTTACTTTCATTCCACATGCACTGCACATGCGCATCTATGGATTCTCGAGGCTGATGGAAACTAAGCTGCTGGAAACTTGCTTTGCCTTTCTAAAAGACAATCTGATTGGCGCTGCGAAAATTGCTACTCTACACCAGCTGTCAGAATGCCACCGAAACGATACATGATTTGCCAAGAAAGTGATCACTTCCAACACTGGTGGGAAAATCGTCTTTTGGGGGATCACCGTGTTAAATTCCCAGACTTTTCTAGATTTCGACTAAAATATTTAAATTTCCCCGACTCTTTAAGGTCACTTTTCAAATTCACTGACTTCTTCCAGTTCTTCAGGAATTCCAGGCAACACAGTAACCCTGTACTAAATCTGCTGAACATTTCATAGTACTAATTTTGGCTGTTGTTCAATTTTTCATAGAATAAATCTGCAATTCCTTGGTGTTAGCTTGGAATGTATTTGAGACTCCTGCGCATTTTTAACAGCTTCAAGCAATTTTTGATCGTTTTATTATATCAATGCTTTTTTTTTTTTTTTTTTTTTTTTTTGATATCTGGAATACCTTCATAATCTTTAAAAGAGATGAATTGCTAAATTTCTAACAGAATTTTTGATTAATTTTTTGCACCTGCCACGTTCACTTCAGCTATGGAAATGTAAATATATCTTGCTTGGTAAGTAATAAATTCTAAATGCAGACAATAATCCCTTTCACACATTTTAATTTTAAACAAAAAATCATAACAAGACACATTGCTTACCAAAACATTTCAATGAAAATTTGGAGTGTCCAAACTATTATGTGAGTTACTGATTAACATGTTGTTTTGAACACATTATTTTATTGCAAGGATGGTTTTAATATTTATTTTAGAACAATCAAGGCTTAAAACAGAGAGAAAATAATATATTATAAAAAAAAAAAAAAAATTCAAGTCTACATTCCAATGTACGAGATCTATGCAAATAAAGCAGTAAAATACAAGTGTCTGAAAAGAAATGTGAGGCACTGTAATTTTGTGAAAGTTTCAAAGTCATGAGCTGATCAACGGCAGTACATCAACACAGCTGGTAACTGTACTGGCTGTTGATTTTGCTGTGCACTGTAATAAACTGCTATAAATTGTCACTTTCCTCCTGCTTATCTGAGCAGCTGTATGAGCAATGTTATTGAAGAAACCTCTTCGAACTCTTATCTTGCAATAATATTTATAGCAGCTTTAGGATGCAATCATGTTTATATAAATTGCAAACTAATAACAACAGTAATAAAGAAATATACATTTGTTACACAATTTTGATCATGTAATTGATGATGCACATATTCAGTGCAAATACGAAGTTGGAATCTCAAAACAGAAAATGCTTTTAAAATTTAGGAATTCACCAAAATAAAAGGATAAATGAAGCAATGCAATAGAAAATTTTCTTTAAATTAATTACCTTGAAGATGTATTTGAGTTAAATGACAAGTTAGAGATATCTTCTACTACAGACAATGCATCAAAATGCAACTGGCTTGCATTACTTTGTTCGCTAATCTGCAATGGGATTAAAAGTTTTTTCATACTGGCGTAGAAGAGAGAATCGTCCTTCGGCGACCCAGGATAGGATGTATCTGAGTAAAGAAAAGTACTTTATTTACAACCAATACTGTGCAATTCATAAAATTTTCATCTAAAATATTATGAGAAATAATAAAGTAATGCAAAAATTAACCTCTATTACAGTATACTCTATCTCTCACCAGGGTGAATTAAATAGGGAAGTTAGAAAATTTAAGCTGTTCCATAATATGCTCATTAAAAGAAATGCAGTAAATGTATTTGTAAATTTTAATAAACCATTTCAAGAGATGAGAGAAGAAAAAAAAAAGTTTCTAAGACAGCACTGAAATATTTCTTGCAGCTTCAAGATTTGCAATGAAAATTATGTGTACATGCCCATACATGATTGAATATCAACTTATTGTGGTAACATCTACAGTTATATTATGATAGTATAATACTTAAAATGAAGACAGGAAGATAGATAACAATGTAGATATTGTGATAACGATGTGCCAATATTAAATTAAGGAAATGAGATAAAGATTTCCCATTTCCAGCTGAAGAACCAAAAATTTAAGGCTTTTTGCACTTTCATTAGATTGATCTTTCCAACTGAACATACTTTTCAAAATGGAATAAAAATATACAACCACAGAAGATTAGCAGGCATGTCATTACTTTTAAATCTGTACTAAACATAATGATAAATGATCATTCTAACAATCATCTCCAAGACCTGCATTAGAGTGTGTGCAGCAGTACTGCATGGCAGAATCTAGGAGTGGCAAAATTTTTGGAATTAGGGAAGGAATTCGGCTTTGGAATTTTGGAGTTGTGGAGATTGCACTGGGCAGCAAAAAGGTCTGGCGCCAGCCCTGATTATCTCCAATGCTTTGCTTTGATTACAAATACAGAATTTTATCTATGAATTTTAAAATAAGTACAAAAAAATAAACTTTTTACATTTAGGGATTTATATTTACTTTAGCTAACAATTTAAAGTTTAAGTTTAGACATTTCCTGTAAGCCTTCATTCCCCTAATTGTCAGTGTCAGAATAGTTAAATGTTGTAGCACGTGGAAGGAAATGCAATGCAAATTTTCTACTTTAAAGGAAATAATTAAAAGCCGAGTTTCGGTAGGAGAAAGAGAGAGTTAGGCTCTAGCTGCTGTAGATACGTTTTCTTATTGCTGGTTCAAGTGGCTTAATTGCATTTATCTGCTGCCACTAGCTTAAAAAGGAGGTTTAAGTTCTGAGATCTTCCTGAGCCCTGTAGTCTAGGTCTATCGTTTGTTAATATCTTCAAATTTTAGTTTAATTATATGATTTCAGTTACTGCCCAAGCAGAGGCGAAGTTTGTTAGCGTCGAGTTTGACGCATTGTAAATTTTAAACAGTTAATAAAGGGTACTTTAACCCTTCTCCTGTGTAGTTTCCTGATACTCCAATTTCAGATAGAAGTTAACCCACCCGGACTCATCAACATTTCAAATTTTCAAAATACTTTTATGATGAGAAAACATTAATGACAGAGTTAAGATTTTGGTTTAAATAAAGAGGTAATTTAAATTAGACTCTGCATAACACATTCCAAGCAAATTCATTTTGGAATTATTTAACAGCATATAAAACTTATTTTGTAAAAGTAGTAAAATTGACTGTAAATGAGCATGATTACAATGGCAAAACATGGGTAGTTCCTTTTTTTTTTCTGTGTGTGTGTAATTTTTCTGTAGAACAATTCACAGGAAAACTCTTTTACTTAAAGCAGTATTTTACTCCCTGTACTTTTTGCCTGTTCTGCAATAATAAATAAAACCAACCAAGTATTACTAGGTTAAATATCATGCTGAATAACAATCAAAAACAAAGTTCAACATTAACCCTCTCACTGCGCATCCTGGACATTCCACGGGCAACGTAGCAGTAGCAAAATTTGCACAACCTGCGATTTCCACAGGGATGAATTTTTGTCATCTGTTTAACCCGCTCTTTCCCCGTTTCAAGGTTTCCTTTAGGCTTTTCTGTGATGTTTAATTGTATATTTAGATGTGGGCTAACAGATGGCATCAGTTGTCCACATTTCTGCCAAATATATAAGAATATGTAATGTAGCTTTTTGTGAGTGCTTTTCAGAGCTCAAAGATGTCTGGCAGGAATCGCTTAGCGAGTGATATAACCTATATTCCTGACGGTATTTCCGACACTGATAGTAGTTGAGACTCTGATTTCAAGTATATTGAAGATAGTTATAGCGAAACTGATGACAATTTTCCATTCCTCTGCAGATAGTGATGAATCTGAAAATTCAGTTTCTATTGAAAATGTTCAACAGTGGTGCAAAATTGATATATATGTTTTGATCGATTGAAAAAATTGATATATGAAATATATGTTTTACCTGGTATTTTATAAAATAAGTCATAATTTAACCAATGTTAATTTTCAAAATTTTCCTTTTATAGTGGAATAATTTTATGTTGAGAAAAAAAAAAAAAAAAAAAAAAGCACCTCTTTTGTAAAAAATTTTTTTGTATATTTTAACTCTAGTTTTTTAACCTTCTTTAGCTGCTAAGTGCAAATGAACCAAATAAAGGAGGAAGAAAGATAAAATAAGATTAGAGATAAGATAAGAAAAGTTGGACAGAAGTTGAGCTACTGGTGCCATCTATTGATGAAACAAGAAAAACTAAAACAAAATTTCTTTAAAGGCTGAAGGTAAAGATGGATTGCAATTAGGTCATTAACTAGAACAGATTTTTTTTTTTTTTTTTTTTTTTTTTTTTGTGTGTGTGTGTGTGTGTGTGTGTGGATGTGAAGTGCTTCTAAAAATCTTAACTCACCAATGGAAGATGTTTTCTGAATAATTTTGGCCAATAATGAATTCCACTGATCCTGCTATTCAGTTCACTTTTGAACTTGAGACATCCAATTCTCTCCCGTTCCTCGACATTTTGGTCACACGTGACATATCTCACTTCAGTATTACTGTTTACCATAAACCTTCATTAGTTTGCCTTCCACCACACTTCAAACCATGTCATCCGACGAAACAGCAGTTAGCTTCATTTTATTTCTTTGTTTTTCCACGCACTTTAAGTTTGCTTCTTCAAATTTGCTCTTGATCAAGAAGTAAATTATTTAAAAGTAGTTGCTATTGACAAGGGCTTTTCACCCAACATTATTAACCACGCATTCAAAAAATTCTCATTGGAACACATCAAAAGGTACAATCCTGTTTTTAGGTGATTTTAAGAATTCCGTTGTCATTCCTTTCTTTCCGCCAATCTGCTGTAAAATTGCATGTATTTTGCAGAAATTTAACTTTTGGGGTTGTTTTCTGTCCTATCAATAAAATTCCTAGTTCCATGCTTAAGGACTCCATTCCGGATACGAATTTCTGGGATATTTACAGGATTCCTTGCCAGTGTGGTTTAATTTACATTGGTCAAACAAAAAGAGCCTTAAAATTTCGTGTTAAAGAACATGAGGCATATGTTAGAAAAAAGGAAACACAGAAATTCGCTGTTACTCAGCATTGTTGGAATGAAAAATCACACTTTCCATTTTTCTGCAGCCAAAATTTTTCAGAAAACATTCTCCCTTGGCGAATTAGATTTTTTAGAAGTGTTTCACATCCAAAAAAACATTTCTGTTCTAGTTAATGACCACAATTGCAAACCATTTTTACCTTCAGCCTTTAAAGAAATTTTGTTTTAGTTTTTCTTGTTTCATCAACAGATGGTGCCAGTAGCTTAACTTCTGTCCAACTTTTCTTATCTCTATCCTTATCTTATCTTTCTTTACCCTTTATTTGGTTCATTTGCACTTAGCAGCTGAAGAAGGTAGTTTAAAAATTATCAAAACTAGTACTGCAAAAATTTTTTTTTTTAATTTAGGGTACTTACGTATTAACGCAACCAGGCCAAAATTCGCATAAATTGTGAAATTTGGCAACCCTACGTGTAATACGTAGTTTTGTAAAAAGAGCATGTGGAGATTCACAAAATTGTCCTGCATTTTCATTCAAATTTTTGTAATTTATGAGAAAATAGCAGTGTACATGGATAAAGTCAAGAGTCAAAAATGCGCAAATGCCATTTTTGTGCAATTCTGGGATGTTTTTTTAAGTAAAAATAAGTCGACGTGTACATGGTTATGGCGAATACGGTTTTCAATCAGTGCTAAAAGAAATAGCCAAAAGATTTCTGCCGAAAAAATAATTCTGCAGCTTATTAAAATTCGAAACCGGAAGGGTTTAATTGCTATTTTATATTTTAAAACAAAATAATATAAAAAACTGTATTAAAAATTATCTGTAATTAATAAATGTACATTTTCTTTCTATTCATACTTTTTTAGTCAAACTTACAAATAGCGCCAACCTGGTTGCGATAATACGTAAGTACCAAATTTAGACTGATTCTTAATGTTGGATTTTGTTTTTGACAAGTATTACTAGTTGAAGTATACAGTGGTTTGGAATAGACCAAATGAAATTAGAATCTTAATAGCTAAGATATTAAAAACAATATCCCTGCATTTTATTCCCCAGAAATGCAGTATTTTTTTTCTCAATTAAAACATCCATTCATTCAGAGTGGGAAAGAAAAGAAAAGAAAAAAAAAAAAAAAAAGAGAAGAGTTTTACCATATATAGCTTTTTCTTCTCCTTCATAATAAATATCAAAATTTATGTTATGCAGAGGGTCATTGGCAGATATCCTCAAATTTTGGCTTCCAATTCTAAATAAAATGAAAATAAATAAATATATAAAACCTGAAGATTTCAGATTACACTTTAACATTTCAAAGTGCTTACCATTAAAAAAAAATTCAAAATGTTTACAAAACAATAGTCAACAAGTTGACAAATAACATCAATTTGGCGATTTCTTGCCAACTTAGCTACTTTTTGTCAATATAAATACAGCTCTGGCTGTCTGTTCATTTTGCTGTGCCCTGTAAAAATATAAAACTGGGAGGAGGATTGGCAATCTAATCTTTGGATATTGATTAAAGTTTAATTCCTAAAACAATTTCAAGCTAAACACTTACAATTAACTTAGAACTGATTCTCTAGGAATTCAAGATACAGAACGTAAAATTATATCTTTAAAATAAAGTAATAAAAACAGCAATGAAAAACGCTATGGAACTTGCTATGGTATTAATTATTTCACCATAAATTATCATAATATAGAGACTTAAACTATCCAGTTTCTAGTCTAAACTCTAGTTTATTTGATTAAAAACAGACGTAACTATTAAAAATCTTGTCAAATGTTCTGATGCTTTTGCCATCTTGCACAACTTTATTAAGCTTTTAGTAGTAGTTTTATGTATATTCCATTAGCTTTTTTTATATATATTATTATATTTTACCTACATATTATCATTTTATGGAATAATGTATCGTGTTATTGTTAAGTCTCTTAAATTATTATTTAACCCATTAGTTTATTAGGATTATTGTATTATGATGATGATATACAATTCCTCTTAGTATTATACTTGAGTGTTCTTATTATGGTAATACAGTACAAAGTCTAAAATCTGGACTTCCATTATCTGAAATGATCTAAAATCCAGACCTCAAAACCACCACCAACGTTTTCTCATAGGCTTTACACATGCACACTTGATTTCCCCCTCTGCACATAATAAAACATCTTGAGAGTCCTGATTCTTAATTTCACTTCAACAGTAAATAAAATACACTGTTATTGAAGAAACAATCATTTTAGCATAAATTTGTACGATCAGTAAATTGGCTCCGTTGCTGCATATCTGCTTGGCACGCATCTCGAACCAAAGCATTCAAACATAGATATATCGTTGATTTGATGCCAACCCGGCAAATCATTATTCCTTTCCTTTCAGCAATGCATGTTTATCAAAACATGACAACTTGAGTAATGACTCATGTAGAGAAGCCTAAACAATTTATTTTATGTTAGTAATTGAATAAAAAAGGTGTATGGTAACCTTTTATGTTCACATTAAGCTTGGCAATGATTACAGATATAAGTTTGAGCTAAAAAATGTTGACAAGGAAAAATTTACCAAAAATTTCTTTCCATATGCTAAAAATAGATTTTGATGATGATACTCATAGACCCAAAGATTACATTTAGGGCTATTTGAATTAAAAATAACTGATGTGTTATTCACATAAACCTAGAACCAGCGGCAGACCTCGTATGGCCGCACTGGGTCGCAGAATTTAGAAACGCCGGCCCTTAATAAGGCTTAAGTATATGTGGGAATTTATTTAGTCAGAACTCTGATAAGCCTTAAGCATGTGCAAGAAATAGACACATGTAAAATAAACAAATACAATTCAGGCTTAATTGTCTCAGTGTGCGATGGAAGCAAGATAAAATTTAACGGAACAACTTGTCGTTAGTCGTCAAGCTCATGATGCATAGCCAAATATGTATAGTGAAGGATAGCTAAATTTGATGATGATAGCCGCTAATTTTAAAGATTTTCGGATATCGCTAAACAAAGGTGAAATTTTCCAATTAACGGATTTTGTAAAGAAATGTGGAGAAGCGGTAATAAATGAAGATGATATAAAAGAAGTTTTTCATTGTGATGACAATGCTTCTCAATTGAATGGTGAAATCCCTAGTATGGTTCTAAATCCAGAAAATACCGCTACCGACAATGAAGAAACTCTGATAAGCCTTAAGCATGTGAAAACAAGAAAATTTCGATTGACAAGTTAGTCGGAATTCTCGAAACAGCAGTTACAGGACTTCAACTATGTAACTAAACAAGAGATTATGTCTGTCTACAAAATTAAAGAGAAAGTATTAGCACAAAAACGAAGCAACTTAAACAAGAAATGTTTAATAAGGTAAAAAAATAAACATTCAGCTTTTTTTTTTTTTTTTTTTTTTTTTTTTTTTGTAAATTTTGATACCCTTTAGATCATAAGTACTTCATTATTTCATAAATCACGATTTCATATTTTTAGTTTTATAATTTCTACATGCCATTTTACTAGATTTAAACTGATGATCTGATATCCGGAAAAATCCCAAATCCGGAATCGCCAAAGTCCCTACGAGTCCGGATTTCAGACTTTGTACTGTATTTGTTTTATTATACATATTTCTTATTCCCTCATCTAGACATTACCACAACTGCCAACCTCTAAATATGAACTAGTGGAAGGTTTTCATGTCCCAAGTTAAAGTTTTCAGGATATTTTTCGTGTGTCATAATGGCATCATCCCCAGAGAACTTGAAATTGATTTAAATTTCTCTTATAATGTATGATTTAGGTCTTCTGAATTAGATATTCTAAATGTTTATCAATTAATTTCATTTTGTAATTTTCTTAATACTCAAGAAATCTTAAGCAGGAAAGTCATTAAGTAAGCACTTAGAAAATGAAACTAATAATTAACGCACATGCTACTGTATGAATAAACTTAATAATGTACTATACATTGATGTAAAACAAAATTAAATACAAATAAATATCAGCTAACTAAATATTAGTTAATCTTAATATAAAATTCTACAAATATCTGCAGTAGGTTAAAAAAAAATCCAAATAAAACAAAATTTGATAAGAAAATCCATGCTAAAAATCACTAGGAGTAAAGGAATGAAATTTTCCCAATTCAGGTTTTAGTAAAGGTTAAAAATTAAGATTAACAAAAACAAATTGGAAGAATTGGCAACTATGTATTATGTATTATATCTCTTTTATATTACTGAGTTATTTACTTTTTCTGTAAGCCCGATGGCCTACCTTGCGGAACATGAGGTATTTTTTTCCCTTAAAATAAATAAATAAATAAATGGTACTTATTCCTTTAAAGCCTCATGGACATTTCGTGCCATACTTCTGTATTTCGATTCACCCCCCCCCTTTTAAATTTTTTCCCCTTTTTTACTAAATTTAAGACATTTTTTCTCTTGATGTACATTGACTTTTCCTGAAAACTTCTTAAAAAAACATGAAATAAGAACAAATACACAAACAGTAGCAATATTTACTTAATCTTAAATAACTAAATAAAAAATAACTATTAATAAACTTGACACTAAAAAATAAATAAATAAAATCTGAAAAGTTTCAGATTTTAAATTATTTTAAATTACATCTAAAGGGGTGTTTTCTTTAACATTTTGTGTGCTACCTTTATTTATTAAATATCATGTTCTTTTGTACTTAAACCATAAAATTCAGTTCAAGAGCAATATCTCAAAATAGTTTTAAATTGAGTATATCTTTAGAATTTCCAATACATTGTCTCGCGCACTGGAGATAAAAATGTTTTTTTCTGTACATCGTTGCCATTGCTCTCTTTGAAATCGTTGAGTTTTTTTAATCAAAAATTCATTAAAGTTTTACAAAATATGAAATCGATAATAAACAAATTCCAAATTTGGGCTTCCAGATGCCCATATTCGCAAGAGGATTACGTTATTCAAAATTGGATGGCTCTAGGTACCGTTGTTTTATTACAGTGCGAGAAACATACAAACATTTATGCAGATTCTTCATTATTTAATTTCATTAAATGCAATACAGGGCGAAACCAACACTTGTAGTTAATCAATGTAAAATGCAAAAACGAAATTCATAGTCCTTCTGGACAAATTGCCCCTTTGGACTAAATAAACCATAAAATACTAAACAGCAAGCATTATGGCCTTTAGCATAGCAAGGCATACTTCGTGCATGCAACAAAATTAATTCAATTAAATAAGAATAAATATTGGCAAGCAGTGCCTCACTATCATTTATAATGCCATTCTGCATTACCCAACAAGCAATCAATTAGGTATGACAGCCAGTTGTTCAGAGCAGCCAAATCAATGAAATAAAAATGATTTCTGCGAAATATTCTGAATGCCAAATAATGGAATCCATTGCAGTTAAATGACAAGGGAGGAAATCCCAGATCTTTTTACACTTTCATTCAGCTCTCAGTTTAGCAGTTTCTCTTAGACTCACACCTGCTAATGCAGCTTTTTTTATCTTCTTTATTATTAAACATAGTTCCCCCCCCCAGTTATGGAACATAAAATTAACAGTAAAATTGTAGGATGTTTAAAAGCAGTCTATTTTTTAAATTCCGTAGAGTGTAAGTATTGTCATACATTCTTTTATTCTTTTCAATCTTTTCTCAGTTCATCATGTCAATGCACAGTTTTTTTTAGGGGGTCCTTTTAACTATATTATTAACCACACTTACACCACATAAAATTCCACAGCAAAATCATAAAATTTTTAAAAGCAGCTAATTTTTAGAATTCCCAAAAGAGTGTTAAGTGTTGCCAGCAATATTTTTTTCATCTTTTATCAGTTCATCATACCAATGCTCAGTTTCCTTAGTGAGATGACTTGCATGACTATTTTTGTATGTTTAGTATAAAGTTTTTGGCCTTTCTAACTTTATTTATTAAACATTAATTTCTTTGCACCTATGCCCTGCAAAATTCAACAGAAAAAGCATAAGATATTTAAAAACAGCATATCTTTGGAACTTTTGAAAGAGTTTTAAGTGTTGCCATAAACTTTTTTGTATTTGCTCTATTATTTCTTTAAAAGTAATATATGGCAATAGCATTTGGTGGCAACATCCTTTTATTTGAAAAGTGAAAATCAAGACTAATAGCACCCCTGGTGCCAAAAAAAAAAAAAAAAAAAAAAAAAAAAAAAAAAAGATAAGATGAACAGTGTTGTTGCATGAGTGATGGCTATTAATTTATCAAGACAATTAATTCTCGAAAGGAAATTAAACCAAACTGGCAACGTTTGGCACTAAGAAAAAAAAAAAAAAAAAAAAAAAAAAAAAAAAAAAAGCCATATGATATGGTTTTACTGAAGAAGAATCAAACATTTATCTGTGCATTTAATTTATATCACCAGGCCATTTGTGGAAGTCTCACAGAAAATATTTCTTCGAAATGCATAGTATACAAATAACTGCAAATAATGACATTTTTAAATAATTCACACAATGCTAATGAGGCTTAATAATATTAAATTAGTATTCAATTTTTTTAAATAATTATAAATGACTGATATTTACACAATAGTTACATGAGAGCATTTTAAGAATAAATGGCAAAGGGAAGGGGATTTTCACATACTTTATAGATTTAAAAAAAAAAAAAAAAAAAATATTTGAATAATGTGTATTCAAATACATTTAAGAAATACACTATATGATCAAAAGGATCTGGACATCTGTATGTTTTTTTTCTCCCACAGATAAGTGACAAATTAATATAAGGTTGAGCCAGCTTTTACTACAGTAAAAGCTGCGGACTAGTCTTTGAAATATGTTTCAGCAGGAATTGCACACCTTTCTTGTAGAAGAAAACCGGTCAGTTCGATGAGACTTGGAGTGATGCAGCCTAGATGACTCTTGATCTTCTGATACATCCCACACCTGTTCTTTTGGATTCGAGTCTCAGCTCTAAATAGCTAGTCCAGTTTCTGAACTCCTTTGTCTGCACACCAAATATGCACAGGTCATTCAGTATGGACAGTAGTGCAATCGTATTGAAACAGGAATGGACCTTCTCCACACTGCTGCCAAAAGGCCCAGTCAGTTAAAGAGCATTCACCAGGCAATGTCCACCCTAAACTCTACCATTGGATTTATAGATAGTATACCTCAGTTCATCACTTTGCTGTGAAAGCCAGAAGTTCAAAGTTTGTGATGAACTGTCGTTGTGCTGATGTTGCATCCAGAGGTTTCTTGTCATTCCTGATGAATTTTTTTTGCTCATACCATTTAACTTTCAGAACTCTCTGCACTCCCTGTCTGCAGAAGAACCTGGTCTAGCACATCTTTGCTGCCTAGCTGTAGCCCCTGCATATTCCCACTTAATGACAGCATCATGTACAATAGATTGCGATACTCCTAACAAAGCAGAAGTTGCCGAACACACTTTCCATAGCAGTGAAAACCAACCACTTCCCTGTGTTTAAAATCATTTAGCTTGCGTTTTCCTCTCATTGTACTTTTCTGTCTTTGAAATAACCATTGCAAACTTGTCTGGGAGCCAGAGGATTGACATCGCTCGCAGAATACACTATTACGAGGGGTTTCTGGATACTTTTGATCATGCAGTGTAATTTATGAACATTAGAAAAATAATTAAAATGCAAGAAGAAAAATGAAACTGTTTTTAATATTAAACCAAGTTTAATCACATATAAAAATTTCTGTTGCAGTTACAGAAAAGTTTACACCTGAACATATAAAAATGAATAACATACCTTCTTATTTGTTGTCTCATAATTTCATCCCCATATAATATAGTAATAATTCCATCACCAGAAATACCACATTCATTGCAGCCTTTTAGACAGTTTACAGTAATAATTAGAGTCTAAAAAAATTAAAGCAGTAGTTAACACATTTAAATTTATGATATAAAAAAGGATGATCTTTATATACATATGAAGCAATCAATTAAGATTTTGATGAGAGATACATAAGACTCCAACTGATAGCATAACTTTACAGGAGTCAAAGTGTGAACAATACTTTTACAACTTTAAAAAAATGCACAATGCATTTTTTAATTAACTACTCAACATTTAACATAAAATCCATAAATATAAAAAACTAGTAAATTATATGCAAGTTTAATTAAATATTTTCATTTTAGTACTCAAATAGAAATATCACTGTATTAAACAATATTTTTGAAATGAATATATTAAATCACTATCAGATGAAAGGGAAATCAGAATCAATAAGACATATTTCGTTATGAGGTTCTGCTTTCTTCAGGAAAATTATTTAAAAAAAATTCTAGATAGAGACAAGAATGTACATATAATTTATTATCAAAAATACTTGTAATTTTTTCCACACACACTACAAATGTAAAGATTTCTAAATATATGCTGAACAATTAAGATACAATAACACGTTGAACAAATATTAATTTAGAAGTCAAACAACAAAAATCAGCGCTATATTTTCAAAAATTAATTACTTCTGAGAACAAACTTTTGAAAATATAATGCTGATTTTTGTTGTTTGACTTCTAAATTAATATATGATTAACAAGTTCTAAACCAGAGAATGCTTTTCTATGATATTCTTTATGTGCCTGTAATGTTTACTTTTTCAGCACAAATTGCTTCAAATGTTTTCACAACTAAATTAGGTTAAAATGCAGTTTTTTAATAAGAGAAAAATTACTTTCATGCATTGCATTTGAATATTATGCATTGTGATTATGCGTTATTAAAAATGCAAGTATGATAGTAGGAAATGCAATAACCCCTCCCCCCTTAAGGCAAACACTTGGTAAACATGAACAAAACTTTGGTCCCAGCAGTAATGTACATGATCTTATAAAGAAGTTTGGTCGTTTAATGCAAATTAGCCTGAATTATGAGTTTTTTTAGTCTATTGCATCATTAGATTTTTTTTTGTTTTTATTTGACATGAACTTAAAAAGTCCTGTAGATGGCATCCTGGTAGTTTTCAGGAAGCAACAACTAATGTTTAGTTGCAAGAGTAAAAGAGTAAGTCAGGCCAAGAGGAAACGGACAGACATAGGTCTGCAAACAAAACTAACAATCCTAGATGAAGTAGACCATAGTGTACTGAAGAAAAGTAAAATTGACAAAATTATGGAATTGCCAAATATACCTTCTTACCCAGAATACTTAAAAATCATGAAAATTTTTTGATACTGTTGCACTGGGTTCTGGGAACAAATCTAAGTGACTTTGCAGAGCCAAGTACAATGACACAGAAATTTAACATCTGGAATAATTTAACTATATGCATGTTTCCAATGTTAGAGAACCTATGATTCAGTCAAAACAAATGCAATTGAAAAACATTCAAACAGGTATATTTTGTTATCATTACTAAGAGCAAATGATATATTACTACAATAGTGAAAAAAGTACTTTCTGCAAGTGTTTTTGCAATTGCAGTACATTAGGAATGCTCATTCCTAAATTATTTTAGCAATGCAAGAATTTGGAAACATTGCCTTAAAAAGTTATTTTTGTACTGCTCTGTTATTAGCATTGGATTCAGATATTGCCAAAAACTGATGATTTAGTGAAAAATTCGAAGCATAAAAATAGTCGCCAAAATATTTACAATGTAGTTATGTTGAAAATCTAAAGGGAAAAATAAAAGACATTTGCAAACTTTAAAAATTTTAATGCAAACTAAACAACTTGGCAAAGAAATCAGAAAATTAGGATTAATGCGGAGACATGAAACTGCAGATATCATTTAAAATGTCTGGTAACATTTGCATTTTAGCATGATTTTACTACCACATAAACTCACTTAAATAAGAATCTAACTGGTTACAGTTAGTGCCGCATGGATGTTTATTTCGCCATTTCACACTGACATAACCTTTCGACAGGTTGCTAATGACACTAATATTGGGATCGATAAAATTATATTTATGGTTAATGCAGAAATATTCATATCCAGCCTCTCGTAATTCTTCAGTATTATACTTTTTCCAGCAGTCCGAGTATATTATAGTGCAATCAATAGTATTTTCTTCAATAACTTTAAGCAAAGTTCTCGCAGAGCAACTAAAACTGTTCCTTAGCAAATTCTGCTACATACTCAATCAATGTTGTTTTTTCGATGCAAAAACAGACTTTCATCAACTGTGATAATATTTCCAGTGCATCTTATTTTAACTGACAGTCTAAGCATTAATGCGTAGCCCCAGACTACTATATAACTATTCAAATTAACAACAGTACAAAGGTTCATACCAAGTTGATTCTGACAAAATTCAACGGAAGTAAATTCTAAACACCATGCGTAAATAAAATGAATTGTCGTTAAAAAACTGATTCTAGATCTTCAAACCAATTTTGAGAAAGTAATGTCTTTTTTCTTCAACGTGTCACATCTTTACATCTCCATTTTGGTGCTTTCTTTGAACTGAAGTAGAGCTTCATTTTATGGTTTTTCGTGCACTTTCTTACAGAGTGAATAATTCCTCATTCCTGTAGAAGGTATGGAAGATGTATAAAGTATTTTCTCCCTCCTTTCTGCATATCTTTGTGGTATAACGGTAGCACACTTGGTGCCTATTCAAGAGATCCAAGTTCGAGTCCAGGCGAAGGTACTGCTAATTTTTCCTGTACTCCTGCTTCAAAATAACCTAACGACTCTACAGTGGTGTCCAAACGAAAAAGTAGTGGATGATGATTTTTCACTACAAGGATTTGGCATTGGGTTCCCTTATCCCCAGTCGCCCTATAAAAGGGAGATTATATAAAAAGTTATTTTCTCCCTCCTTTCTGCATATGCCTTCATGGTGTAATGGTCGCACATTCGGTGCATATTCGAGAGGTCTAGGTTCGAGTCCCGGCGAGGGCATTGTTCATTTTTCACATTTCCTGCTTCACAAAATCCTAATGACTATACAAATGTTTCATCGTTGAGTAAGTTCCAAATTTTCATATCTATTTCATAATAATAATAAAAACACAAGTGACCATTACATCTTTAGAGTTTATGTTCATATTGCCAATTTTAAAAAGATATTCTCCTACTTAAAAAAAAAAAAAAAAAAAAAAAAGCAAACATTGACAATTTCACACAAAGCAATCTCTTGGAGTGTGTGCAAGACATGTGGCAATGACTCTGCACCTGATAACAGAACGCTACCATAATTTTGAATAGTCTAATTAAAAATAGTCCAGTGCATTCAACTTTTATACCATTATCCTATTTTAGGCTTTTAAGAAGAAATCTGATACTCTTTCAGTTTTACTACTCTAATTCCTTTATGTCTCGGAGGAAAATTATAGTTGTCATTTCTTTGTGAAAAACTGGAAAGTCTTCGTTGCATACAGTGCAAGTGCATGACTTGACTTGCAAAAATTTAAATGTCTTTTTAATGCTGTAAAGTATATTTTAATTTTATAACAGTTATTTTAATTTCAAAGTGCTTTCAAAGTGAAGCTGTTACGGTCTGCCGTATATTATATTATGTGCCTTTTGATATTCGCCAGCTAGTTTAAATTAATGGTCAACAATGTTCCATTTTGTGTTTAGCTTCAGCTAAGTCTCTCTTAGTTAATAACAGTTTAGTTCTTACTTTGATTTCAAGCCAGAGTGAAGGCTTTGTTGTAAGCCCGAGAAAGGGGTCAACAGTTAATCTTATTTTGAGTGAAATAAAGGGTAGTTAACCCTTCTCGAGTCTATGTCTTTAGTTATTTGAACTCAGCCGTAAGTCACTTAACAGTTCACTAGGTTTCTCGACATTTACTTTAGCCGAAAAGAAGAGGAAACCTACAGTGCAGTGGTCTCAAACTCAAATTGCATGCAAGCTGAATGCAGTCTGAAAACAATTGAACTAGAACTTTTATTCTTAGCAGAATGAAAATTGTTTATCAAGAAGTAAAAAATAATTTGACTAAAATCCCACTAAATAACTATTTATCAAACTTACATAAATGGTAATAATAACAAAAAGGGGAAAATTCAAATTTATATTTATTTCCTATCTGAAATCTCAAGTTTCATGCCTACAATTGAACTAGAACTTTTATTCTTAGCAGAATGAAAATTGTTTATCAAGAAGTAAAAAATAATTTGACTAAAATCCCACTAAATAACTATTTATCAAACTTGCATAAATGGTAATAATAACAAAAAGGGGAAAATTCAAATTTATATTTATTTCCTATCTGAAATCTCAAGTTTCATGCCTACAAGACATTTTTATTGGTTACACTTTGTTATTCAAATATGCTGACAGCTAAATATTAATATTGCTGACTAATATTTATTTTAAATAATTCTAACATGTTTCATTAATCATAGAAGAACTTACTTTAATTTTAAACCTCCGAGTGTCATGGCCAGCTTTATCCAGTCATGAGATTATTTTGTTACTTGATATATACTATCTTATAACTTGATATATTTTACTTTCTTTCATTAATAATATAAATGTCATCTCAATGAATACAAGTTTATGAAAATAGAGACTAAAATAGGTAAATATAGAAATTTGGCTAATAAAGGCTCTTTAGAAACAGGTCTTCATGACAGATCCAAAAACCCGAGCCACTCAGAGGGTTAAACTAAAAATAAATAAATTGTGAAATTTTTAAAAAATTTTCAGTGAAAATTTACCAAGTGAGACAAACCTTGAGAATAAATAATGATAATCCATTATATAGAAAACAGAGATATCCAAAAATTGATATCTCTATTTTTTGTTTACTAACTTCTTCTTTAAAATATAAATTAAAATACATATGTTTGTGCATAAATATTTATTAACTTCTTAATTTCTTACTACAGAATGACATTTGATGGAGTTTTAATTCTAATAAATTTGTAGACTTGAAGAAAAATTATCATCACCATGGGTTGTAAATGCTCTTTGGCAACTAGATTCTTTTTTTGATAAGTTTTAACTGTGAGAACAACTGTTTTCATATAAAAGTCCTTCCAAACATAATGACTCTTCTTGGTGCAAAAAATTCGTAACTGAGCATATTTATATTTTTTTACAAGTATAAATAAAAGTTAAACAGATCTGTATCTTAAACTTTTTTAATAAGATTTATAACACATTGTAAACTAATTAGCTGAATTTATAGATTTTCTGGTACATTATTCATAATAGTTTTTAATAGTAATGGAAATAATTAAAATTACAATTATTAAAAAAATTAAAATTGTTGCAAAAAATACGTAATTAAAATGTATTCACAGGCCGCCAATCTGAGATCACTATTTTAATGCATGAGAGTTCTGAAAACATAAGTCTTTAAATTTTTGGCTCTGTAATTTAGCGTCTTATTTTGAGCTGCCATAATTCATAAACTTAAAAAAAATCCTGTCAAAATTAAAACTCAAAAAAGCACATGCTACAATTTCAAACGAATTACATAACACCACTTGTAGGGTGCCTGATTAACAGTCGGAATATACTGTTCTACGACTGACTACTCTTCAAAGACAACAAAACTATCAACTTCCACGTGATCCTGAAAATTGTTCCAAGTCCAAACATTTTACTAATTACTGGATGATTAATTGTTAAATGAAGTTAATTGATGAAGTTAATTCGCTTTCACATACCATTTTCCTTTTTAAAAGCATACCATTTTCTCTCTCTTTTTTTCCCTTTCTATTTCTCTCTCTCTCTCTTTTTCCTTCTCTACCACCCCTCTTTTTAAATTTTTAAATGCACGAATATTTGCAAACGTATAGCATCTGTGCGGAATGGGGCACTTTAAATATGTGATGAGCTGAAAGTCCTCTCAAGAGGTTGGCAGTAGGGGAGAAAGGGATGGGAGACCATAAGCAGCTACTATTTTCAGGACAGAAAGCCAAACTTAAGCCAAGCTATAAAAAGGGCTGTAGCAAATTATAGTATTTTATCTTATTCATATATATGTGTGTGTGTGTGTAATGAAAACAAGAAAAGGATGGAGCAATGTTGAAGCATAATACCTAGATCCATATTGAAGAGGCAGTCCAGGCAGTTTTAATTCCATTTTTATTTCCAATTGACATTTGTGGCCACAGTTCGCCTGGCATTCCAGTCATGCCTCTATTCAAGAGCGTTTATATTTTTTGATATTATTGCGATTGGAAGCGAGCCCAGCGAAATTGCCTACAAGCACCACACAGATAGAAACTAAAGTGCATAGTTATCCAATATGGAAGCACACGAAGAGAAAGGTTTTGGTTTAAGTTAAAAGTTTCACTTCCCAATTATTACATCATCAGCGCTGCACAGACCATGCAAAATGGAATGATCTAGAAATGATGCAATCTAGAGAAGCTATTAAGATTTTTAAAACAGAGAGGGAGTATTAACCCTCTGAGCAGCACAGATTTTTGGATCTGTCATGAAGACCTGTATTTATGCAGCATTTATTAGCTAAATTTATATAATTACTTATTTTAGCCTCTATTTTCATAAATTTATATTCATTAAGATTACATTTACATAATTAAAGAAATTAAGAAAACAAAGTATCTTAGATTATAAGTTAATATGTATCAAGTAACAAAAAATCTCATGAGTAGATAAAGCCGAGCATGCCGCACAGAGGACTAAAGGGAATTAGAGGTTAATTTAAATTATAATTGTGATTTTTTAAATTACATGTAAGATATAGCAAAATACAATGGCTGCTTTAAAAAATAATTGGAGACCTCAAAATTAGCATTCTAAATTTGGTGCTATACCCCCTAAATTCATCTTTTCTCCCAAATTTGAGATAATTTCAAATTACATAACACTGCTTGAAAAAAGTAATTAAAACCAATATTGATCAATCATAGCTTAGAATACTTTCTGCACCTATGAAGTATAAATACTGAGTTACGAGCTCTACGCTTTCCCTTTTTTCCCAACTTCTGCCATGCAAACAACTCTGCACCGCTTATGCTTCCCTGCCCGAAATGACGTCGCATCTTTTTACCCGTGCACAGAAGAAATTATCGTAATTACTATGGTTACAAGCAATCTACAAGAAATTATTCTAGTGTGCCTGTAAATAAAGATGTTAATTGGTTAAATCTAGTTTGGTATCAACTCCTCCTTCTCGCCGTGCCACGCAGCCATCACAACCGCGCTTCGAAATTATGATATATAATACACACTCACACATAAAGATTCATCACAAAAAATATATAATCATTTCATTTTGTAATATTCCTTTTACAGTTTAAATAAATAAAAAGTATGAATGAACAGCTACGATAAGAAACTAAAGGGAACATTAAATAAGAACATTAAATTTAAACACAAAAATAATCAGCCTCCCCCTTTAAAAAATAAAGAAACAAAAGATTTTTATTTAGGAAATATACATACCTTTTTTTCATTTTTCAACAGAACAAATTCTTTAGGGTACACAACCACTTGCTTATCTATAAAATTTATTCACAAATATATATTCAGTGAAACAAATGATTAATAAAGTACAGCAATACTCTAAAGCAGAGATTCCCAGTGGGCTCAGGGGAATGATAAAATTTTAAAAGGGACCAATGATAATCAAGGGGTCGACAGCCGAATAAGCAGCGGCAACTGATCGGCATAATGAAAATCTCATTGATTACAAAATAGTAATAATAATATTGTAAAGCTGATAATTGCTACTTTTATGGAGACTGATGATATTATTCATTGATAATTACTGATATATAATCGTGTAGTAAAAAAGAAATCAAAAAGTGCATATAAGGAGAAAATACACAAAAATTATTTAGTATTTTTTAAAAATCAATAACACTTTTTTAAAATATATAAATTTTTAATGCAAATATGCAATACAAAGAAGTAATATCACAGGAATATGGAAAAAAAAAAAAAAAAAAAAAAAGAGAGAGAGAGAGAGAGAGAGAGAATACAAACTTCCTTAGAAGATATAATGTTAAATACAAGTCAAATGTAAAATTAAAAAGATTTTAATGTTCGCTTCCAACACGCCGAAAACCTGAATGTGCCAACATGACTCGTAGAACTCACTATATTTGATCTATTTAATCTTGATATTACACTGCAAGAAGAGCCAAGTGAATTGAAATATGATGTGCGAGCAAAAGTCGGATTCAAAACCCATGTGTATGCTAAATTTTGGAATTTAAAAGACATATAATTAATTATATATATATATATATAAAGCTATTACCTAACAACTTTTCCTTTTTCTTAATGAGTAGAAGAAAGCTTTAATCAACAATAATAACAAAAACAATAACTTACTAAGGGTATAAGATGTGTATATTTATATATACATACAGTATATCATTAGAAAGCTTTTTAATACCATCGCCAGGGAACAGAAATTCAATTAAACCCATAAATTATTGTGTTCGGGAATGCTTCTTCTAAAGTGAGAATCCTGTTCAGTTGCATTAGCTTTATTTTGTTTATGGAAGATCTTTTGGCTCAAATGAACTAATGTCTTTTTATTGATTTAGATTGTACTTGACTTGTGATCTGGCTCTGCAGAATATTAATTGGGACCTTACTTGGAAGAATGACGAAACACTCTCGCTTAATTCAGTTGTTGTTAATTGATAGCAGATTGGTTTGTTCCCCTTGACAAGTCAATTAATCTGCAGTCAATGACAATAATACTTTCTGAATATTTAAAACGTTTACTTTTGATTTTATTTTTTTTATTCATGTTCCCCCCCCTTTCTCCTGCAATAGAAGTCTAAAAATACTAATTAAAATATATTGTACAAGAAATTTGTTTATTATAATAATTTATGGTTTTAATTGAATTTCTGCTCCTCGGAGATGGCATTAAAAAGTTTTCTAATGATAAATTATGTGTTTATTTTAAATCCTTTTAGCAACCCATTTTGGAAAAAACAGGCCTTTATTCTGTCATCTTAAACATCATGAAATTGCACTCGATATCCATCAAAATAGATATTTTTGTTGAAATATGATACCCGAAAATATTCACGATTCCAATGCTTCCTTTACTTAGTACAAGGAAGTGAAAAAGTAAAGACATTCAAAGAATCATCGTTAGCTTACCTGATGACACTAACACTTTAACAAATGAGTCACGATGGCCGGTATTACTAATGACAAGATTAGCATGATAAATTCTGTTTCCTTCAGGAATGTTTATGTCCAAGCAATGTCCAATACCTTCCTTTACAGTTAATCCAATAGCTTCAATTTTGCCAGTGCCACCATAACCACCGAGAGGAATCTAATTAAATAAAATTGCATCTTTTATTGATAACATCTAAGAATGATTCTATAATTTTAGCTATAATAAAACTAAAGCAACCTTAATTAAAAATTGAAGCTTCAAGTTAGTGAAACATTCCTCTAGCCAATTATTTTATGATTTTTGCAGAAATATACTGATAATGGCTATTACTTATTCTAAGTTACGTGCAAAAAATATTTTCAATAAATATATATATATATACAGTACAAAGTCCGTAATCCGGACTTGTCGGGACTTCGACGATTCCGGATTATAGATAATCAATTTAAATCTGGTAAGATGGCATGCAGAAATTATACAATTAAAAATATGAAACCGTAATTTATGAAATAAAGAGCAACTATGATCTAAAGGGTATCAAAATTTACATTAAAAAAAGCTTAATATTTATTTGTTTACTTTATTAAACATTTCTTTGAATGCAAGTTGTTTAAGTTGCTTCGTTTTTTGTGCTAATACTTTCTCTTTAATTCTATAAACAGACATAATTTCTTGTTCAGTGACATAGTTCCACTGTTCAAGTCCTCTAATTGCTGTATCAAGAATACCGACTAACTTGTCAATCAAAATTTTTTTGTTTTCAATAACCTCTCTGTCACTTTTTTCACTATCAGAAGCCGTATTTTCTGGATCTAGAACCATACTGCAGATTTCGAAATCCGTTAATTGATTGATGATTGGGGCATTGTCGTCACAATGAAAAACTTCTGTTATATCATCTTCATTTATTACCACCTCTCAACATTTCTTTAAAAAAATCCAATAACTGGAAAATTTCACCTTTAGTTTGCGATGTCCGTAATCCTTCAAATTCATGGCTATCATCTTCATCGTCCTCACCATGAAATACGGTAGCTGGCCATAAATTATGCCAAGCATGTTTTAACATATTTGGAGACACGTCCACCCACGATCTTGCGATGCTCCACATAGCAGATTTTATGCTAAAAAATTTCAAAAAGTCTTGAATAGTCTTGTCATTGTTCAAGAAATTTAACATAGATTTAAAAATGCTACTTTATATTTGCGTTTCAGCACGTGCACTATTCCCATATCCATAGGATGAATGATAGACATACAAATTTGGAGGGAAGAATAATACGGATACATTATCTTTCACTAAAACTTTAAGTGAAGTATGTGCCGGACAGTTGTCAACAATCAGGACTATTTTTGAGTAATCAAGTAAACCAACCGAATTCAAATGTCGCTGAGCCTCGGGTATAAAATGATTTTCAAGCCAATCATTCATCAACGCTTGTGTCATCCATGCTCTTTTATTTGCGCGATATATAATGGTGAAAATAGTTACTCCTTTAAATGCTTGAGGTTGTGCATGTTTTCTGATTACAAAAAGTTTGCACTTGTGCATTTCTGCAGCATTTGTGCATGCTAAAATTGTTGACACCTTTTGGAGCCTTTTCTGTAGAGGTTGCCAAGGTATTTCATGGTACATATTGCCAGAGAAGACCAGTTTCATCAGTGTTGCAAATTTGTTCTGGAGATAATTGTTTACTAGTAATGAGTTCAATGAATTCATCTGCAAATTGTTCAGCAGCTTCAGTATCAGCTGAAGCTTTTTCACCTGAAATTTTTAATTGTCTTATACCATGGCGATTTTTAAATTTGGTTAACCAACCTGTCGAATATGTGCACTCAGTGTTTAAGTTCATTTCTTCATGAAATATTTTGGCATAAGCCATTAGCATTGGACCAGCTAATGGCACGCCCTCGCTGTGACACTGTCTGACCCATTCAATCATCACTTTGTCATGATCGTCACTTTTAGCATAATGAACCTTTTTTCTGTTATTCATTGCAAGTGGGGTGTCGGAATCCACAAAAAATTCAAAAAGTTCCTTTTTGCTTATGTCACATACAGTTGACTTTCCAATGTCACACTCCTCGCATAATTTTGAGACGGATATGCCTTTATCCATTTTTTGCAGCAATTTCACTTTTTTGTTTGATGGACATCGAAACATGCTTTTGCTTTGTAGATCCTTTGGCAGCTCCAGAATTGGAAATCAGTAAAGATAATTTTAGCCTAGCCTATACTGTCCGTTATAGATTAAACGTGCATGCATAAACGCATTACGCGCATACGTAAAGCATACCAAAAAAAAAAAAAAGTTTGTGGCTTTGAGGTCAGGATTATAGATCATTCTGGATAATGGACATCCGGATTACGGACTTTGTACTGTATATATAATTGTTTCATAAGAAACTATTAGTAAAGTTAAATTAAAATTAAGTAATTCTCTTGTACCATTGCTGCAAGGAATGGATTCCAAATATAGCAAACACATATAAAACACATCTGAATGGGAAAAAGCATTGCAGTGAACAATTTTATATGAATAATAATTTAAACAAAAATTATGAGTTGAATAAAACTGTTTATGCAATGCTTCTTCTAATTCTTTTTTTTTTCTTACATGTGTTTGTTATATTTATTTAAACTACTAGACAATGAAGAATAAATACTGTACGAATAATCTTTAACGTCATATTACTATGCAAAAGGTTTGAAAGAATTTAATAATGAACTTTTGGGGGATATTGTACTTTGGCAATGCAGTTATTGTTTTATAAAGTATTATATATATAGACAAAGGCCAGATGGGGACTAACATAAATTATTCAAATTATCATTATGATTTACACCTAAAAGTGAATTCTCTCTGAAAAAGATAGTGGATTGTATTTGAAAGGCATAGATATTTTGAGTAAACTGCACTTCACATTTCCTAGTGTATTGCCTTAGATCAGGGTTTCTTAAACTGCGGATCGTGACCCCTAAGTGGGTCACAGGACCTGCAGCAGGGGGTTGCCAAAATTTTAGCATTTTGATATTTCCTTAACATATTATAATAATTTTACAATTATCAAATATTTTACACAATGTATCTGAAAATAGATGAAAATAAGACATACAGACAAAGAAAAAATTGAAAGCGTTTCTACACATTCTTTTTATAATATCAATGTTCATTTTCCTTGCTTTGCAAGTGATGCTGTCATTTTGTTTGTTACTTATTTAAAATTTTCACATTGTTCTATGTCTTAAAATTAGAAATTAATTAAAGTTAATGACCTAAAACTGCAACAGTAATACAGTACAAGTAAAAAAATTGACAGTTTCATTCATGCGTGTGTCGGATTTGCGCAATACTTATGGGGTCTCACAAAATTTTCATAAATATTATGGGGTCCTGAGGATCGCGAAACAAATCTCAGTGATAAAAAAGGGGTCGCGACTGAAAAAAGTTTAAGAAACCCTGCCTCAGATAAAATTTGGTACATAGGAATCTCATAAAATAGCTACAAAATAAGATTTTACATATTGCATTCCTTCTTTTTTTTTTTTTTTTTTTTTTTATTTATTATTATTATTATTATTATCCTAAAAACCATAGGGGAAAATATGCAAATCATTTGATTACTGAAAGAATGCGGTTACGGTAAGAGCATAAATGAAATCATTGATAAACTACAGGTAACTAACACAATATTATTTTTTCAGAGTAATTTATTACCACATCTTATTATATATGGTAATTAACATTACCATATCGAATCCTCATTTATACCTCCTGTAACTTAAATCTTGACCATTCTTATCGCTCTTTCTGCTACTCCTTACGTTTCAAATCATTAGAGATGGTGAATATTCAGCTTATTCGGCAAAATCGTAGACTGAATGTCAGTTCGCCGTGATCGGTCATTTCTTGTATAAGGCTGGCATAAAATTGAACAGTTAGGAAAAGGTTCGGTAGTTCATGAGAGTTTGTCTCTGTGAGAAGAAAATCACTAGCTGGACGAATCCACGTTGTAATTTAGGAAAGCTTGTTCTCTGAATGCAGGGATAAATTACCTGAATGTTTAAAAAATCTTCAGAACTTTGAGATAAAAAGTTAGGGTAAAAAATAGATAAAGATATATGGATATGGTATATACAGGCATGAAGTAATCATGCTTTAAGCATAAATCTAAAAGTTTCTGAATTGCACATCTAATCCAATTAAAAAAAATTTCCCATCCAGTGCGAATTATACACATCAAGCTCTTTCATTTTTTAGAAAGTAATTTTATTTGTTTACCTGGCAAAGGTTCTGTTCTTATAATGCACAAATATTTTGTTGAGTTATATACTGACCATTTTGATCCAATATCTTTCTGGTAGCAGCATGATTCCACATTCACGAAAGTTCTGTTCTTTGCTTATAAAAAGCTGATCCAAGTGATTTTTTAAGACCGAAACAAGTAATAGTCATAGGGTGCCAGGTATCACGACCATATTTGCAATATCTTCTTTTCGCAAAGACCACTTTTCATTTGTTATTTATTGTTTTACTGCAACTACTTTTCATTTACTATCGCATCCTTCTGAAATTTAATTATTCGCATAATTTTTCCTTCTTGATATTGGGGTGATAAAATTAGTAAAATACAGCAAGAAAACATGTGAGGAAATGCAGTATTTGAAACTTGTGTTTTATATTAGACTGTAAACTGATTAGCCCAAAAATGTTGCCAATGATCTGAATAAAATTTTAGTATCACAAATAACAGTAATAATGAATTATTAATTGATTTGCAATCACTGCTTATCAGTTTAAAGGGCCAATAATATATTTATTCATCTTAAATGACTCATAAATGTTTTTAAAGGCATCATGTAATATATGCTAAATTTTTTCCAAGGAGCATTTTAAAAGAAACCTTTTACATAAAATGACATATTTTCAATAAAAATTCAGGTAGTTACAATAAAATAATCTGATAAATTAGTTTTTTTCATTAAAAGTAAGTATAGATAATAAAGAAGACATTTGTTACTTACCACAAATGCCATTTGTTTTTGATTATCAAGCAAAGACTTTACTACAAGTGTGCCTGAATATGACACAACTTCAGTTGGAGTAAACTTCAAAGAAATCGTTTCCTCTTCCATTGGTTTTAAAGTAAATACCTTTTGATTTAAATTGTCCATCAACTAATATAAAAAATAAGCGCTTATTATTCAAAAAGGGCTAAAAAATAACATGAAGAATTACCACATTAATATTATAATGTTCCAAATATTAGGAAATAGTAGACAACTATATATATAATGAAACAGATGATGAAATTCCTTTACCATAACACAGTTGCTTCTTTTTATAGATACAGACAAGATTGCTTATATTTGTTGTAAACTTCTGCTTTATAATTAAAAAAACTTTTTACTTATCTTCATCTTTCAAACTGGTTTAAGTGTATAAATAGTTACTAATATCTCAATGATTTTCAAAGCAAGATTTTTTAAAAGCCGTGCGAGATTCGAACATGCATCTATGTTGTACTACAGGTACTTTATGATGATTTTCTCATGGTATTATATCATCTCATATGTTTGAATTGCAACAAGAAATTAATATTTTTCTTAAAGAGGAAGAACATAAATATGCCAAACATTTTATCAATGAAGATTTCTCCTAGTAAAACTAGCATATTTGATATTTTTCAAAAACTGAATTTTCAGAATATCTTCTTACAGGGAAGGAATATTCCTTTTTTAAAGTCGTCCGAGGAAATTTAGCTTTAATAATAATAATAATAATTATTATTATTAAAAAAAAACTGGAGTTATGGAAAGGAACAATTAATTAAGACAGATGCAAGGAATTCTTTTCTTTTTTGAATCAAGTTCTTTTACCTCTACCTGAATAGATTTTTTTCGAGACAGGAAATACATTTTTGAAAAACATTTATTGCAGCTTATAACCTGGTTTGAGATGTATTTTCAAAATGATAATATCGATAAATTTGTCTGGATTTGAATTCATTTATTGCCACTGTTCTGTCTGAATTTGCTACTGCATAAAAAGAAATCTAACTCAGCTAGCCCACCATAATATATTAAAAACAAAATTAACACTATGGAATTAACTGGATTTTAGTTATTCGTAAAATATGAGTATTAATTCCTAAGTGATAGAACTCAGAAAATTTTAATCTCATTTCCTACTTCTTATTCATGTATAGCTGGGTTTTCAGCAGTAGCTTTGAAAAAGCATAAGCTTCCAGGAGGTTTTTGCAATGCATGGGAGCATCATTTTAAGATAATTTAAATTCACTGTATAATGCATGATTCAGTTTTTTAAACTTTTCATATTATGATTCTGTCGTAAAATTATTAATTACATAATCTAACTATTATTTGAATAATTTCATTTTGTATATTTATTATAGCTTTACACTGAGAAAATTCTGAGTAGGCAAAGAAAGCTTTAATTTAACAGAATACTTTTAAATGTAATAAAAACAAAATTAATAATTAATGTGCATATTATAATGTGGATAAACTTAGAAAAGTACCATATACTTGCAAGATACTTTCTCTCTCCTTACCATGTGCCTTCAAGATGTAACTGAAAGCACATCTCGCTAGTACTCGGGATGTTCGGAGCTGAAATCTTAGTGAGGGCAATGCACGTTTTGTGTCTTCAGCCACTAAAAAATTTAAGAAAAAAAAAAAAAAAAAAAAAGATTCTACATTGACACAAAATGGGGTGAACGACAATTTGTCAACACCAGGATCTGGTGACTAGGTCTAAAGCCCTCTGTGCCTTTGTGCTGTAATTCAAAGCACAACTTGCTAGTAACTGGAGTTTAAATCGTGATGAAGCAATGCATATTTTCCATTTCCTGCTTTTGGAATGGATCAAATGACTCAAATCAAATATTGATTAAAACAAAATAAAATACAAATATTAATTGAATAAATACTGATCGAACCTCCCCCCCCAAAAAAAAAAAATCTACGAATGTCTACAATAGATTAAGACAATTCACATCCAATAAATTTATGCTGAAGATAACTATTAAACTATGTAAAAATAAAGTTTTATTAATTCAGTAATAAAACAAACTATGCAAACTTTATTCACATGATTTAATTTTATTGCTGGAACACATTTTCTGTAGTAAAGACTAAAAATTAAAAACCGAGAGATGTGTCTGCAGTATAAAGAAGCTAAAAGAAATATTTTACAGTTACTCATACTGTTAGAAATATGTATTAGTTTTTATGATTAAAACAAAAGCAAATTATGAAAAGTTTAAAGAAGTTGGAATTTTTATCCATACCTGGAAATTGGAGGATTTTTCTTTCAGGAAGATCTTTGTTTTTGAAACACAATTTGTAGCATTTCTTATAATAAATTTTTGGATTCTAAAAGAAAATTTATGAGATAAAACTATAGAAAATGCAAAATAAAGCAAATAATTGGCATTTTTAAAACATGTCTGAAATCCATATATCCAATATCTGGAATGATCTAATATCCAGATCACCAGCTAACAAGCTGTAATAACAAAAAGAGACATTTGTACCATAAATGCGATTTTTCTTGGGACTGAGATACCCGTCTGTTAGTTTTAAATACCTGCTGGCTAGGGAGTCACAACATGGCCAATAACAATGCATTAAATCAGAGTAAAAATAACATGCTGAATAACAATTATTAGAGGTAGGTGTTAAGGACACAAGAATTAAAGTAATATTCATAAATTTGCAGGACTAGTTTCGAAGGTTTAAGCATAGAATCTTCTTCCATTGCAGAAGTGAAGTGAAGTCAAGCTACTCGCATCATCTATTGATTAAAAAAAAAAAAAAAAAAAAAAAAAAACCCTATAAAAAATTTCCTTGAAAGCTGTGGGTGGACATGGAATTGTTAATTAGAGCTGAAAGATTTTTACAAATATGAAAAAGCCTCCAAAAAATCTAATTCACCAATGGATTTTTTTAAATATTTTTTTTTTTGAATAATTCAGGAAACAGAAAAAAAGGAAAATGTGATTTTCCTTTTTTTCTCACCCCTCCCCCGCTTCCTTAGATGAAGAAGAAGGTTTTATGTTTAAACCTTTGAAAGTAGTGCTACAAATTTATGACCATTATGCTGATTCTCACTGCCTTAATGCCTCTGTTAAAAACAGAGCCTTTAAAATTTTGCGCATAGTTATCATTTGTGAGAAGCACACTGCAACTTAACTTTTCTCTAACTACAACGCACTTCGAACGGCGGAAAAAGAGATAGGTATATTCCATGACATGCTAACGACGTATTCTTGAGACTGTATAATTTGAATTGTAATTTTAATGTTGTTTTAAATATATTCTAATGTTAGTCTAACTATGTGGTCATTTAGTTAGTTTGTCATTGATTGAATGCTGCTTCAACATTGAAGGAGAAACAGTCACCATCCGCGAAGAACAGGTAGGCTGAATTTTGATATTTCATTTGAAATAAAAAACTTTTAAAGAAACTAAAAAATTATTAAGTTAATTTTTTAACAGCCTCCAATAACAATGAATGATGTCGCACTGAGGTTGACCATGTTAAGCTCTCGAGTGGTTGTAAGAGAGGGGACAGACCAGTGCTGACCGATGCAATTTTAAGAAACTTTCATTAAGAAAATCCTGAATTGCAAAAATACCAAATTCAAAAGTAAAAATTTCAAGTACTGAAAAAGTAGTTAATGTAATTTATTGAAGATTAACTGATTTGTCGAGGAAAACAAACTAATCTTCTATCAGTCAACAATAGCACAAGTAAGTGAGTGAGTTTCTCCTTTTTTTTCCAACTAAGGACTACTACTTTTTCAGTACTTAAAAAACTTTTACTTTAGAATTTGGTATTTTTGAGAATCAGGATTTTATTTTACACATTTTAAATGGTTTTTCTACAATAGAGGACTAGATTATACTGATTTAAAACGCTAATTAGAATACTGAGTAATTTTTTTTTTATATAATTCATGGCTTTCATTGAATTTGAATCTTTTTCTCATAATAAATTATTGGTTTATATAACTTGGCAGCTCTAGTGCAAGTTTTAGGCTTATTAATTTACTCATAATTACTTATATATATAATAGCAAAATAAAAATAATTCAACAAACATATGAAATTTGTTTGCCTTTTTCAACAGCTTTGAATTATATCTGGATGATTAAATATTCTTGAAATAATTTTGAAAATAGAAAAAAAAAAAAAAATTAAAATAATAATGCAATAAATAAAGTATAATATAAAATTTTGCTTGGTATTAATTTTTTAATAAATCATCAAGATATGATCTGCTCTGACATGACCCTAAAAATAATACTGCAAAAAATTAAACAATATAAAATTAAAAATTTCTAAGTCGGAAACTTGAGAAATAATTGGGCTAATTAATATTTGAAGAATAAACTGTAAACTGAAACAATTAAAAAATGTTAAATAACCATTATAAAACAAAAATAAATAAGTCAAAATTTAAGGAAATAAGACCAAATTATTTAAGAACGTAATTTAAAAGTAAAGCAAAAAATCTGATGTGGGCACGACTTCCTTGTACGGAATATTAAATTATATGCACTATTTGCTGCATTTCATTCTGCTTTCCTTAAATATCATTAGAGATAGATTTCTCATTCAATTAATTCAGTCCTCATTTCGTAGCAAGGCAAAAATTCACAAAAACCTAAAATATCTTCATTAAAAATTGAAAAATATAGAAAAAACACAAAACACAGTAAAAATAATTTTTACAATTAAAATTAGAGTTTCTATGCAAAAACAAGCAATTCGGCCAACAGGCAAGAAGGAAGATTTCTAGGTGTACAAAATTGAAAGTTTGCTTTTGGTCCCATTTGGCAAAAAGATACAGAAGGTGCAGAAACGGATTTAATTCACTATTCTGCCAAATTCCACATGTAAACAAACAACTGGAAGCTAAGACTTAACTGGAAGCTAAGACTTAACTGGAAGATTAAAGCAACATAATTCAATCATTTTTAAAGCCAAAATTGTACAATTTACAAAATATATAAGAATAAAAAAACTGAGCTCATGGAGCCAAGTAAAAAAGTGAGTATATATATATATATTGGGGCATCCGATTGCAATCAAAAAAGAAGGTGCACAACTCCCTATAGCAGTCCTATGTACAAAATTTCAACACTCTGAAGCTATTTGTTTTTTTGGTTATGTAAGATACGTACACATATATGTGCAGATGTCATGAAAAAATTTCCTCTGAATCCATTTTAAATCCTTTTTGCAACCCGTTTTGAGAAAAAGAGTCCTTTATTCTATCCTCAAGATGCAGAAACTGACTTAATTCACTATTCTGTAAATTTTAAATGTAAACAAACAACTGGAAAATATTAACAACATAATTCAATCATTTTTAAAGACAAAAATGCACAATTTACAAAACATATAATAATAATAATAATAAAAACCCTGAGCTCACAGAGCCGAGTAACAAAGTGGGCGCATATATATATATATACACACTTTTGGTGCATCCAATTGCAATAAAAAAGGGGAGGTGCACAACTACATGTTATAGCAGTCCTATATACAAAATTTGAATGCTCTGAGGCTATTTGTTTTTGAGTTATGTGAGATACACGTACTACTACATACAGACATCATGAAAAATTCTCTTTTGAATCCATTTTAAATCCTTTTTGCAACCCGTTTTGAGAAAAAAAGTCCTTTATTCTATCCTTAGGTACAGATGTCACCCAAAAACATGGTTAAATTGCATTCGATAGCAGTCAAAATGAATATTTTCGTTAGAATATGACACCCAAAAATTTTAGCGATTACAATACTTCTTTTACTTCGTACAAGGAAGTAAAGTGAATTTAATAAGATTATTTTTGCTTAATTTTTTTTTAAATTTAAGAAATAGAAGGAAAACGAAATAAGGCGGTAAGCCCTAATTAAGAGAAATGATGCTAAAAGCAACTGGCTTAATTTTTGGTGGTGGGGGAAAAATTATTAAAAATGGAATTATGACAGTAAGAGAAAATGAAAAATAAAAAGCTATTACAATGACACTGTACCTTTATCTTTCTAAAAAATTTTGAATGCATTTAAATGAAAAAGACACGGACACAGTACTTACCCATTGTTGCCAATATCAACACCTCCCCAAGCTAAGAACTTCTTATTACATTCAATGGAATTGGATATTCTTGACTGTAAAATTCTAGAGCTTTCTACTCTCTGAGGCACCACAGATGAGTGATTCTGTGCATGCTGAATAGTATCACCTATTATTTCTGTTATATTCAAAACTTTCCCATGAGGCTGAGCTGCTGCTTGAAGGTTGCTGAAAGAAGAAAGAAACAACTGCTGATTTGTCCCTGAAGTTTAAAATTTTCTGTGATTTAAATATGATGTATAAGGTGTCCATTTATGATGTTATTATATGTATACCACAAGTTTTCCCCTTAACGGTTTCTTTTGGTTCAATATACACGTAATGTGAACATCTGTGAGATCTGAAAATAGTCCTGCCATGAGTGATTTGCAGCTAGACAGACTGAAAGCAAATGTTAAGTGTGGTATGCTGCATGACAAAAATTTAAAACCATTTTTTCTCCATGAACAAACTGTAGAGTCATTGGGTTATTTTGAAGCAGAAGACACGAAAAATAAGCAATGCCCTCGCTGGGACTCGAACCCGGACCTCTCGAATACGCGTCGAGTGTGCTAACAGTTACACCACGAAGGCATGCAAAAAGAAGGAAGAAAATACCTTATATACTCCCTCTTTTAAAGGGAAAATGGGGATTAGGGGACCCAAACACCAAATCCTGTTGGTGAAGAATCATCATTGACCATTTCTTAGTTTGGACCCCACTGTGGAGAAATTAGGGTATTTTGAAGCAGGAGCACATGAAAAATGTACAGGGGGGACCCAAACACCAAATCCTGTTGGTGAAGAATCATCATTGACCATTTCTTAGTTTGGACCCCACTGTGGAGAAATTAGGGTATTTTGAAGCAGGAGCACATGAAAAATGTACAATGCCCCCATTGTAACTCGAACCTGGACCTCTTGAATACGCACGGTGTGTGGTAACTGCTACAACGTGAAGGCGTGCAGAAAGGAGGTAGGGAATACCTTATATAACAGCAGGAGTTCACCTCGATACATTCATTAAGTACATGTGCCTACAGTTGGAGAACCATCAACCAAGGTAACCAATAGTACGCATGTAGAAGTTAGGTGTCACTTGTCACAAAAATTTTGAACCTTGCTTGTGAAAAGTTATGATCAATAGAAAAGGTATAAGTTGTTCCATTCCTAAACAACAAGCTGTTAAAGTTACTCAAAGACTCTGTGGACATTCTGCATTAAACACAATAATAAATTTATAGCAAAGACTCAAAAGAGAACAAACTGCAAATTGGAATAATTGAACAATATTTCACAAGAGTTTTAACCTGGATATACAGCATTAAAATTTATGCATATAACAAAAACCTGAAAATAGCTACTACCTTGCTCCCACGTCAAGGCCAAAGTTAAACTAAATTTATAAATTAGTAAATTGTAAACTAAAATTAGTAATTATAAGATACATTCAGTTGAAATAAGGTATAAATGTTGCTTCCTTCAGAAAACATCTGTATAAATTATAATTAAAGGAGCTTGAATATAAAAAAATTAACAAAATACCATGTTAAAAAATAAAATAATATATATCCACATTGCTATTTGACATTCTTAATGGAAGGAATATTTGGCTTTAGCAAAAATTTTTGGTTAAGAATTACTGAGCGTTAATCTTAACTCGCCACACACCAGGCTTAGTTATTTTTGTTTGTTGTGTTAGGAATAAACTTAATTGATGAAAACAGTATAATGGAAAAATATATAAATTAATACTAATTACGTGACTTGTTGCCTAACTTTTTAAATCTGAATACAAGTGTGATTATGAATCCATTTCAAATGTCTTGAATACTGTTTCTGGTAAAAAATCTGATATAATTTCAAATAATTTAGAATATTAATTTGATACCTATAAATGCATACATACCCACAAATTTTCAAACAACTTTATTAAAAAAGCGGAAAGGACAATCTTTTCAGTTTATTAAAAGTTAATATATGTTTTACTATATCCTTTCAGAAAATTCTTTTCATTTTCAGTTTCTCAAATTTCTTAAAATAATTGTTAAGTTTGTATTGCTTTTCAGCGAAGAGAGGTGCTACATTCTGGGAAAGGCTGCATAAATATTTTTCTTAGTTCATTACTATCAGAAAGCCATTTAGATGATGCTTACTTAATCCTTCAAGTACATCGAGCCTGAAGTATGTGTATTAAAACACACAAAAGATGAGGAATTACTAGTAGGAAGATAATGGCTCGTGGATTGTGAAGATTTTTGGCAAGTTTCCAGCTATTCAATAAGTTATCCCTAAAATCTTTACCTACACTCCAAAAAATTTTCACAATTTTTTTATGAGAATAAATAATATTTTGGTCTTCACAGCACCTATGCTGTCAATGTTCAAGGGTATTCCAGATTCTGCCATAAAATGCAATTTTAACAGTGGGTTCAAGGAAGAAAATAAACAAATTTAATTAAATTTTGTCAGTAATGGGAAATTCTATTTTCCATCTTTTTTAGCTTCAATAAAGCACAGAAGTAAAAAATTCAGATTCCTCCTGACATGTTACATTCGTCATTGCTGTCAACAATCTCCTGCATGCAATGCATTTTCATCTGCGAAGATGGGCAAATTGAAAACTTGTAATTCTAATAACTATTTTTCCCCGCTTTGTGCAGGAAAAAAAGTAGGTGTTGCCATTCAAAATTTTGTCACTGTAACTGCAATTATGAAGGCACTATTGTTTTAAATCATCACAATCTCAAGTGCCTACCCTTCAAATAACAATATTCAAAATTCATTTAAATTGCTTCAGCAGATAGGCCACTAGGGGTTCGTATATCAGGGAAGGTTTTTTTTTAATGACCACCCTGTACATACTAAAAGAGGTGCCATTTTGCATTCATTTTAATTCTTTTGCATAAAAAATGTACCACCAAAAATCAGGTAATTGTCCATAGTTTGAGAGCCCCTGAATAAATCACTTGGCAATTATTTTCGTCACTGCATGCAGTTTGTTTAACTATTTATAATGCAACTGTAGTATAAAATATATTAAGATTTAATTACATACTCCAAATTTTATGTTCTTTGGCTAATTTCATTTTGTCATTTTCCTACACTTTTATATTGAAAAAAATTCTGAATAAGAAAGGAAAGCTTAATTTATCAAAGTATTTTTAAATATGGTGAAAATATAATTAATAATAAGTGTATATACTATTGCATGAATAAACCTTGTAATGCACTACATACAGACTAAAACATTATTTAACAAACATATTTACTGATTAAACATTTGGTTGAATCTTCATGTGAAATGCAGTAAATGTCAGAAGTAAATTAAGACAATTCAGATCTAATAAAATTTAATTAGAAAAATTATGCAGGTCACTAAAGAAAGTAAATGAAACCTGCATAATTTAAATTTCATTTACTAAACAAAATTTATACTAATTAATTTCATTTACACAGTTTAATTTTATCACTGAAACATGTTTTCATTAGTAAAGGTTAAAAATTAAAAACTAGGAGATTCATTGATGTACCAGGAGATGCGTCAAAAATGCAAGAGAGTTGCTAGCTATGAAATAACCATTGTAAGATGGAGTTCCCCACATACAATCCAACCAAGAATATGAATGTGCTGTCACACAGTTCCTCACTGCTAAAAGATGTTAACTTATATGTAATATTTTGTTGCGTGAAAGAAGTGAATGGGCATGACAAATGCATCTTGAAAACTAACAGCAACGGATTTGGCAAGTATGTTTAGGGAAGGATGGTCATTCCTTTTTTGATCAAGACCATGCTGTTGCCACAGAAGAAATCTGTGCAAAGGTGAATGAGGCTATTTACGTGAATAGATGTCTCCATATTCGATCTTGTGGAATCACAAAGTTTGTTGGCAGTTCCTGGGACGTTGATGGCAGGACAAAAGTCATACACTTCACTCAGATACTAAGGCCAGCATCCATCAGTGGTTTGAAAACCAACCTTCAATATTTTATATGGACAGCATTCCTAGAATAGCCACATAATGGGACAAATATCTGAACACCTATGGTGATTTCTCCTGAAGAATCGTTCTCGATGCAGCAACAAACTCATCACGGAGGCCAGTAAATAGTGGATAAAGTACAATAAAATATACAATTATTAGTTTCACAAACTGCAAATGAATTTCAAGAGATCAACCCATGTATTGCTCATAGATGTAAAGATACTGTTGAATACTTATTTATGCATAAGGATTTACTTACCCTTTAACAAACTGTGAAGATGATGGTGTAAAAGTAATAGTAATTAAGGAACTCTGCATGGGCTGAAGATTTACAGTAGTAGGAAAAACATTAAAAGAATGATTTTCTTCTTCAATGTGTAAATCATACACAGCACATAAACTGCCTTCATTTAGGACTTCTAAAGATTTTCTCACGGTTGTTCCTTCATTAGCTGTTAACCGCAGAGGATTCTAAGATAAGAAGAGAATGAAAACTTCATTTGAAATAAAATCCCTCTTTCTATAACTAGGGCTAAAAAATCTAAAATATAATGAACCATTTTCATAATAAATAAACTTAGATCTAAAAACTTTGACTTGATTATTTACAAAAAGCTTGTAAAAATATTTACATATATTGAAGTGCAAAATGAACTTTCACATTTTTAATGCATTTTAGTCACATGTGAAATGATATCAGACAGACAAAACAATTTTAGGCACAATAATAAATTAAAACAATTCCTACAATTTAACTGCAGAATTTTTTCCTGCATCCTTTAAAAATTTCACTGCATTCTAACTTTTTCTACTTGGTGAAGAAATTCTAAGAATTGAACAGTTGTGAAAGAAATTTATGCAAATAAACTCTGAAAATATTCATTATGAAAATATAAGCATGAATAAGATGATTGTTTTATTACTTCCCTTTTTTTAAATGAAGAATATAAATTACACTAAATTAAAACTAATAAACAACTACAGTATACTTGGCTAAAAGCACAAAAGCTATCCAATAGCAGTTTTACACATGTATACAGAATATATTCAGCAGGACTTTAAAATACAAAATTTAGATATAGTGTTACAGTTTTTGTATTATTGCTATTGTTAAATAGAATTAAGTAGAATTGTTTTATATTACAGTGCAATGCAGCACTAGACTTATTTGAAGAGAAAGCTATGCTGGAAAAATTTAAAAATATAGGAGCGCACGCATTTAATAACTATATATCTCGTAGTTGTACGCTTTTACTTTTCGAGAAAAATCGAGAAAATACCAGAATGAGCTCATGCATGATTTAAAAAGCTTATAAAAGGAGGAAAACCTCTTAATTCAGTACAGTCAAAAGTCGTTAATTCGGACACCCATAATCCGGAATGATCTATAATCTGGACCTCAAAGCTACAAGCATTCTGCGCATGCGTCGCGTGGATGCATGCGCAGAAATGGCTGCGAATTTTAAGACCTTTATGGCTGCGAATATGCATGTGTGCATGCGCAAAATACGTTTACGAATGCGCGTTTAATGTATAACGGACGGTATAAGCTAAGCTAAAATTATCTAATTCAGTTAATGTTGCAGATTGCGTTGTTCCTTAATCTTCGAATTGAATCTGGCTTATTATTTTTTGCAGACTGTTAGAGCAATTTTATAAAAGTAAGCTTGAACTTTCGATTATGTCAAATAGAATTTCTGATATAGATTTACTAATTTGTAAAGGATCTACAAATCAAAAGTATGTTTCGAAGTCCATTAAACAAAAAGTCGAATTGCTACAAAAAAAGGATAAAGGCATATCTTTTGTTTATCTAACCATTCCAAAATTTGTTTATCAATTTCACGCTGCTCTGCGGCGGGGAGGGGGGGTGGACGCCGCGGTGCGCAATGAATTGGAAGTTGATCTGTCAGTACTATCCTTATCTTCAGGGCAGATGTTTTTATTTTATTTGGCTTATAATTCCTTACTAAATGTAGTATTTCATCTCGATGTACTCTGTCTTTGATATGATTTAAATCAAATTCCTTGTCATTATAATTCGCTTCCGATAGCGAAGAAAGTGACACAGAGGTTATTGAAAACAAAAAAAATTTCGATTGACACATTAGTCGGTATTCGACACACCAATTGTAGGACTTGAACAGCGGAACTTTGTAACTGAAGAAGAAATTATGTCTGTTTATAGAATTAAAGAGAAAGTATTATCACATAAAAAACGAAGCAACTTAAACAACTTACATTGAAAGAAATGTTTAATAAAGTAAACAAATAAATATTAAGCCTTTTTTTTTGTAAATTTTGATACCCTTTAGATCATAACTGTTCTTATTTCATAAATTACGGTTTCATATTTTTAATTTTATAATTTTTGCATGCCATCTTACCAGATTTAAACTGATGATCTATAATCCGGAAAAATCGATAATCCGGAATCGCCGAAGTCCCGACGAGTCCGGATTAACGACTTTTGACTGTAGTTGTTTTATAAGTTTGTTTAAAAAACTGCTGTTGTTTACTGTAGCGAATTCGTGTTGAAATCGGATTAGCTTTCTCTATGTTTCTCTGTTTTGAAATAAGTTCTGTTGAACATTATACTAGTTTAAAAGATAACTACTGAGTGAGATATTGAGATATCGTACAATTATCTATGAAGAAATTTAAGCATTTTGTTTTATTTGTTCAGATAATAATAAATTTTTTATTCACTTTTCATCGGACTTGTGCATTCAATTTATTACGAACCCGTACACACGCAACAATATTAGTTTAATAACAATTATTAACAATATTAGTTAACAATAATTTAATATTTATTAACAATATTAGTTTATTTTGCAACATTTACAAAAATTACACATTTGAAATGTCTAAAACCTTGAACTTAATCAAAAATGTGAGATTTACATTCACACTTGTTTGGAATACTCGGATTTATTTGACACTCAATTGAAAAAATAAAAAGGAGGGATTTCTTCAAAAGCCACATAGTACATTTACAATAATTCAAAGGTTCAAAAACTTTACAATTAATACACTAGATAACATTAAAAATACTGTGTTTTAATAGTTTTCCAATAACAAAAATATTATTTTCACAAATGTTAAAAATGGCTATTTTTTGCTTAGTAAGTTGATTAATGTGTAATGTATGAATGGAAACAGTAAGAATTAATAATTTTGCCAAAACCTACTGAGCTGAAAATCTCATGAAGTATTTTTCATGAAATTTACACACTTGAGAAACCTAGAGTTTTTAAAAAGTATTATTTTGGGAAGCATAGCATTTCGTGCTACAAATCATAATGAATTATATGCTAATTCAAAAAATTTTTTTTTATTATAGTTTACTATTATCTTCAATATTATAAAAGTGACAATTAAATGTGAGAACTAACAAAGGAAAACATGGAAGCAGAGGGGGGGGGGAAAAACTTAATTATTTTAGAAGAAAATATATTGTAACAAACGCAGAAATATGTTAACAAAAATATCTATTTTAAAATTTATTTAGTTACCGTCTAAAATGTTCTAACATAAAAACTGCTATTCCATACTAACTTTAAATGTTCCATGTAGTGGTAAAAATAGTCTTAATAATCATTGATAAATGAAATCAAATGAAAAACACGCCACTAAAGTACATCCAAGTAGTACAAATCACAAATTGTCACTTTTTTATTTCATGCAGAACTCGAATTCATAGCCAGTACTTTAGTTTTAAAATATATAAACATGTCTTCAAAAATTTTGAATAAAAAATATTAATATTTTGGAAATATGGCAAAAATATTTAAGATAGAACTCAGAAATTTTTAAACAAAAAAATGAAGATTTTTAAATAAGCCAGGAAAATATCTGCGTAGCTAGATTAAGTCTAACTTACAGATAGTACAAAATTAAAACAAAGAAATTTAATTTAAAAAGGAGGAACTATCAAATATAAAATCAAATATTTAACACTATGGAAGTAAAATTTTGAATGCTATTAAAAAGAAGCTTATGCAAAACTAATATGATATTTAGAAACAATTTAAGGCATAAAAAATTAAACTATGGAAAATAAATCAGATGCTACTTTTTCCATAAAAAATCTGATTTTACATAAAAAAATTTAAGATAATGTAATGTTACTTAAAATATACACCCTAATCTTTTATTTGATGTATGAAAAATGCATGTTAAATTTTATGGGACTGATTAATTAGAATGAGAGATGCTGAAATGTCCTTCTGCACAGCACACTTATAGAAATTTTACTTTACCTTCAGCGATATAACTACTCACATAAGAAGCTAGGATAAGAAAGTGGCTTTAAAAGCACAGTTTATAAAACTATACTTCAGAGCAATGTATGTATAATTATATATCGCAATGCACTTTATTAATTCGGGAAGATGCATTCGTGAAATATATTTGATACTACCTTCATCCTACCTAATCCTTTTCTGAAATTATTATTGCCTGAAATAAGTTTTGTAGACAGTACCTACATAAAATTAATTCTTTTACACTACATATTCTTAAATTCTTATCCACAAATATTGATACAAATATGCTTGATTTATATTTATCATATTTAATATAAAAATACATGCAACTTATTATATTAAAAAGCAAAAATAATTAAATGATAAATTTATTATTATTAGATTATTAAATATCTTCTTTTTTTTCTGTACATAAATGATTTATTACTTGTATATCTTCCAAAGCAGAGTTTCTTAAATTGTGGGTCGTGACCCCCGTGGGTGTCGTGGAACCTGCAGCAGGGAGTGGCCCAAATTTTGGCAGTTTTGATATTTCTTTAACTAATAATAATTTTACAATTATCAAATATTTTTACACAATGTATTTGAAAACATATAAAGATAAGACAATACAAACAAAGAAAAAACAGAGAACGTTTCGCCGCATTCTTTTTATAATATAAGCGTTCCTTTTGTCTGTTATTTATTTCAAATTTTCACATTGTTCTAAATTAAACATTAACGTTAATGCCCTAAAGCTGCAATAGTATATTACAGTACAAGTGAAAAAATTGACAGTTTCACTCGTGTGTAAGTCGGATTTGTGCTATGCTTATGGGGTCCCACAAAAGTTTCATGAATATTATAAGGGTCCTGGGATCGCGAAAAAATCTCAGTGATAAAAAGGGGGTTGCGAATGGAAAAAGTTTAATAAGCCCTGTTCCAAAGTTATCCTGACATTTTCATTAAAATTAATATAAAATTCTGTAAAATTAATAATACAAAAAATAATCAAGATTAATTAGAGAAAATAAATTCAGTAAATGTACTATAAAAATTCACTCATATAATATAAAATATTATCAAATATTGCTTTTTTTCTAATAAATTGTAACTTTTTTAAAAAGGTGTGAACTCATTGATAAATTTTCATTTTGTATTCAAAAATGACAACATTTCATAAGCAAAACTTAAAGATAAAATACAATAAAAAAATTCTGCACGAATTCAAGAAATTCGAACTTCATGAGGACGTGCATAGAGCAAATACGACTCCAAAATAATATTCAAAGAAATTATTTCTCAACTAAAGAAACTGGAAATTTGAAACCTGATCTAAATTAAAAGTCATGACCTTGACAACTGTGATAGTGAATCACAGTTGTCATTTTATGAAGATGTGGTCAAATATACTCCATGTACGTGCCTGAAGGTTAAATAAACCAATATTTGTGCATCCAATATATGTGAAATATTTTTATCTAATAAAAATAAGTAGAATTTTATTTTTTTACTGCAATTTCAAAAAGATACCTGTGATCTATCTTTGAGTATAAGTCTGGATATTCCAACAGAGGCAGAAATCGTAATATATGCCAATACATCTCGTACAGTAGGCGTCTGCAGAGCAGCAGTGACAGTAAAATTTATATTACGGTTTCTATTTCCTAAAATATACATACATAAATTAGTACAACTTAAATAACTTAAAAGATATAAAGAAATATTAAAAGCCTTATAAGGGGAGAGGGTAAAGTAGAATGAAATTTTTTGACATTTTCTTCCTTTATTTCTTATAAAATTCATTTAACATCTGAAGAGTATTTATAATATTTTAAATCCAAATTGGAGCATAAAAGTATCCATGGAGCCAAAACAGATCGAGCCAAGACAGCTAAGAAACAGGAATTAATGGACTTAATTAACTCAAATGGATGATTTCACTGAACAGGAAGGCAACTTATATGGCCGTGACATTGCAGATTAAGCTTATATAGCAGTATGGCCGCTTAATAATCACACGAGTACCCTTTTTTTCTTATCAAAAACTTCAAATGTGTCCTTTTCAAGAAAATAATAGTGAGCGGTGCAACATAGCTAAAAAATTAATCGGCTGATTGACTTTATATTTCACACAGATATTTATTAAATTATTGACCTTATCTTTAAACTTAAATATCATTAAAAATCAATAATAAACATTGTTCATAGCAAATTGTTCGTTTAAAAAATTAATTTTTTAAAAAATATTCAGAATTCCCCATTTTTGATTTTATATTCCTTAAATTTTGATTTACGATGTGCGAAACATCACATTTTAATGACAATTTTTTGAAATTTTGACTTCAGATAAATAGAACGACATGCCAAAAAAGGACAATTTTAAGAAACTGCAGCACCACTATTTTGAGTTATGATACAATTTTCTTTTCTTACAGCATTTTTTGACAATTTTACGATGTTTATAATGAGCCGTTTTATTTTTTATACATACATTTGTAAACAAAATCTGCTTACCCTCCTCCCTTAAACATCCAAGTTCAATTAAAAAAAAAAAAAAAAATCCATACCAGCTTCAAAAACAATAGGAATATCAAAAGGAACCGATTCTCTCCGGGCAGCTGGTAAACGGTACTGCAACAGCTTGGGAGATAATATTTGGCAATCTACTGCAGTTGATGATTTCAGACGATTAATTTCATTCAATCCAAAATTAATTCGATTGTCTTCAATGTCCTAAAAAATTACTTTCATTAAATTAAATAGTACACATTTCCTGAAACAGAGAGTCAATTTCTATTAAATCTTATGACATTTATTAACAGAAAAACTGCACAAAACCTTAATTCAGCATCTACATTGGAAATAAAGCATATTTTTAGAAATTTTGTTTTGCATTCAACGCAAGGATGATTGTGACCCTATTTAAAAAATCTTGAAAACTACTGTGGAATAAAAGTTCATCACAATTTCCTATAACAAAGATATTAATGTGAAACACATATACACAAATTTTCAAACAGTTTCATTGCTGAAGCTAAGATGCATTTTTTAAATTTATCAAAAATTAATGTTTCACAAAAGCATACTTAATTTATGAGATTTACTAAATTTTCAGTTTTCCCCCCCTAACCACTAAAGTTTTAGTACAGTCAGCAAGACACTTTAGCTTTTCATTTAAGTATTGGATTAGAGTTTCAAAGTATGCATTATTAACAGATATTGCAGGTGGGAACTCCTAGACAGGAGAGAATGGTTTTATTGAATGTTAAGAATTTTGGTAAGTGGTACAGTTATTCACAAAATTATTCCTAAAATATTTACCAACATGGTGTCTTCAGAGAGATTTTCTTCACTTGTATTTTTGTGTAATGAAAATAAACAATATTTCAGTCTCCACAATATTAAGGCTACCAGTGTTCAAAGATGTTCTATATTTTGTCATAATGTCACTCATATAGCTAAATAACCTTGAACAACAGATTTATAGAAGCAAAATAAAACAGATTTAATTAGTTTCAATGGATGTTACTGCTTTCCCTCTTCAGTATGGAAATTTTAGTTCTCGTCTGAATTCTCTCGATAATCTAAAATGACAGTGTCATACTAATATCCTGTAGTCCGCGTGCAGCCCCCAAAGTAATTACCTCTATTACATTAAAAAAGAATGTAAAAAATGCAACAGAAAATCTTTAAATCGAGTTAATTCTCAACGTGATATAAATCTGATTTAAAGACCTGAAAATATAGATTTGATGAATTTTTATTAATAACTGTCAAAAAATAAGTACACTCGGTTATGAATTTTTATATAAAGATTAATTACCTATTTTAGGAACACATTTATGTGTGAATAGTTTTTTTTTAAAAGTTGAAATTAATAAGAAAAGAACCCAACTGACTGAACAGCAAGTACAATCTGTAATGAAGATAATTCTAGTTTCCCCCAATGCATTATACAAACAAATTTTTTTATTTATATTGAAAATTTATAATTATTTACATATGTATTATATAAATATATGCATTTTAATTTATATGTTGAATAATTTAATAAATAAAAGAAACAGACTAAACTTATTTATTCACAAGATCTGTCCTGCTCGGAAAGTTTTCTCTGAAAACTTAGTTTAAATTTAAGTAAGTTATTAATGATTAATTAAACATACTAGAATTATTTGAAATAAATGTCAGTGTGGAATATTAATGTATTTAGCTGTCAAATACCCTGCAAAAACTTTTAAATTTCATGTGGAAAAAAAATGTAAATTTGAAATCCCCCCTTTGCTTTCTTATTGTTTATGTATGCTTTGATAAATATTTAGTTAGCAAAATTTTAAATTTATTTAAAATATGTTTTACTTGTAAATAATTAATTCTCATTTCGATAAAATGCATGATCTAAAGATCATGCATTTTATGGAAATGAATGATCTTTAGATCATGCATTTGGCCAGCATGGAATGTGAGAATACTGGTCTAAAAGTTTTAAATTTATGTTATCTCTAAATGATATATTTTCCTTAAAAGAAAATTTGAGAAAAATAATGAGTCTACAATTACACAAATCTGAAGTTCTGGCTGCACCCAGACTGCAATCATTCCTGGCCAACAAAGACTGACCAGAGTCTAAAGCAAAGAAAGCTGTGGTGGCAACACTGCTTGAAATAAAAACATTTTTATCTTCAACTCGTGAGATTGTATCCATTCAACAAAATGTAAGATATTAATCTTTTAATTTTAATCAACAGACTCTGCTGCTTAAAAGCAACGTGTTGCACTGCCCAGAATAAAATACTTCTATCTTCCATGCACCAGCATGATGACATTCAGTAAAGCATATATTTACTTTCATATTTAATCTATCTGATATTCAGTAACAAATCAAGATTGAAAAGCAATAAATGCAGTTCTTATGGGTATTTTTTCTACTTTTTAATATTAATGATTAAAACAAAAATTCATTTAAATCACAAGACGTCTCATTAGAAATATTAATTATTTTTTTGAAAAGACATGAGCTGGACTCTTTAAAATCCTTACATATATTTCGTTTTTTATGATAATTCTTTTCAGTGGCTGGCCATGCAAGTTGTTTTTAGTTAATGCAAAAAACATATTTTTTCTTTCCCAGCCATTCTTTTAATTTTTTCCACCCCTGCAGTGGAAGAAACTTATCAATCCTGCTTTCTCGCCATACCAAATAAAAATAGTTCTTAAACCACTGGAATGAAAGATCTTGTTTGTAAGTATGATTAGGTCATATTGCCTCACAAACATATTTGAATGTAGGAAAGCAATATAAGGAATTAATTAATTGTATAATATAACAAAATGCATGTGAGTTACCTTCATAAAAGGTACAAAAGTGAAAAACAAAATCAAGGAAAACTTATAAATGGTAAAAAAAGAGACTATGGTCATCATGATGTAATAAAATATTCAATCAGGGCAAAATTGGTTGTAACCAGAAGGAATGGAATGGGAAATGAGAGACAAGTTGAATATTTTTGAATGAAGTGATTCTAAAATTAAATAAGGAAATTTCATGCCCAATATTAAAAACATTGCATCAATACACGAAAAAACAGTTATCACATTAATTAATATCAAATTGTTGTGGCATTAGAAACCCAAATTTTGTTTCTGAAAATTTGTTTATTCAGATGGCTAGAATATGTCTGAAGAGACACTTCTCTAAGGTAATTATTTGGAAGACTAATGCCAAGAGTAGAACATTCTGGAATGAAATTCTAAAGAAGCCCAAGGCTCATCATGGGCTACTGAAGAATAAAAAAAAACTGTTTATACTCGACAAATTAAAAATTATAATAATAACAAAAAATAATTAATCAATCTAATAAAGCATTTGTAAAAATTTTTGTTCATATACTTAATTTAATCATTATTTTTAAATTACTTATGTGCAGTCATTTATATTATGATTATGTTGGATATTATAAAGAAAAATGTAAATATGTCAATGAAGAAAACCATTTCTTTAAAATCAGTAAAAAATGAAAAACAAGGGGGGAGGGTTAGAATTCTTGATTTAAAGTTTAAGCTTTCATATAATATATAAATATAATATAAAAATTGTAGAAAGCTCGCCTAAAAGTTACCAAGAGTTGCTGCTCCAAAAGGTTTAAAACGTTTTCAAAAAATTAATACACATGAAAAGCAAAATCATTAGACATGTAAAACATAAATAAAATTAAAAAAAACTGAAAAAGTTAAAAGTAAGCGGAAAATGGTAAATTAGCCAAATTCGACTTCCAAACAGGCTTTTCAAGGGAAATTTCATTTATTTGAACGTCGAATCAAGCTAACCCCATTACGCGTTTCGCCAAAACAGACAATTGAAACTTTTTCGCTAAAAAATTTTTTTGACAAAGTGTCTTGGAAATTTTAATAGTCTCAATTCTCTGTTCCAATTTCCCGACGCGTCCGCTCAGAATGACACATTAAGGTGTTAAAATATGTTAATCAAAATCAAAACTTCCTAAATCTAGTCTAAAATTAAAATCAAAACGAAAATAAAAAGCGATGAGCTATTAGTCCTAAAAATACAAAAACATACGGGCTGGGCCTGCAAGCTTAAAGATTAACAATTTAATTATAAAATAATAGATTTTAGAAAACTGTAAGAAAACCTGTAATTAATATAAAATAAAAAATTAGGAAAAGAAACGAACAAACTCAGTGGGTCTTGCTAAGACCAAGAAAAAGTTGTAACAAAACAAAAAACTGACCTTTGGCGATGCAAAGCTGTCCCTCTGAAACTTGTTTAAAAATGGCTGCTAACTTCAAGCGTCTTATTTCGGATACTGAGTTTGTTGAATTTGTTTGTTGAAGTCGAATTTGGCTAATTTACCATTTTCCGCTTACTTTTTAACTTTTTCAGTTTTTTAATTTTATTTATGTTTTACATGTCTAATGATTTGCTTTTCATGTGTATTAATTTTTGAAAACGTTTTAAACCTTTTGGAGCAGCAGCTCTTGGTAACTTTTAGGCGAGCTTTCTACAATTTTTATATTTTACTTATTTTGCAGCATATTGCGCAAGATGTTTTCTAGACCAAAATTGGTTTTTCACAAATTGTTATTACTGCTTTGCTTGATATAAATATAATACATACTTCTGATAAACTAATCTGTAAAGGTACTGTGACTTCACTTTTGTTACTGATGCTAACATATTCTATTATGGTGCTACTGGCAAATACAGATCCAAAATTCAGAGCTTCTTTCCCCTTACTCAAGATGCAAACTGAAGGTCGAACTGCTTCATACTGTAATCTTGTTTTGAAAGACATACCAGATGCTGAGTTAAGTGTTTGTTCTACAGGACTCACAATCAAAGAAATCTGCAATTCAACTTGAATTTTGCCTTCGTATCTTGGCGATAATGTAACCTAAGAAAATTTAGAAGTTAGAATTCTTTTTTGTATTATTAGTAAAAAATATTGTGTCATTTGAAAAGTTCTGCGGTTTTTTGACAATGAATACAAATGAAGTCGTGTAAAAACATAAGAAAATTTCATTGAATTACATAAGCAACAATTTTATTTTATGACTTTTTGCCATCTCTCAGGCAGCTGAAAAATTCCATTTAAAAAAAAAACATCATTAGATTTAACAGTAAACCTGTTATTGACATGGTGATTGACATTCTCTAAAGAATAAACTCTAAGCTATTTAGATAAGTTTTAAGTTATCTGAACTGATAAAAATCCCAGATGTAAACATCTGAGGAATATGGGAACTTCAGTAATACTCAATAAGTCTTTGTCTAACATTCATCAAAATGTGGGCCGAACATTTTTTTGATGAAAAACACCACCTCAAAGATTGGTCAGTTCTGGGCATTTTGCTTCAATTTCTGAAGCTGCGATTTGGGAAGAGTATTTTTCTGAATTTGTCTGATTTGGTGGAAACAATTCTTTTATAGTCCCACCATACCCAAAGCATTAGTTTTTAGGATTACAGCCCCCTCTCAGTGTTAATAAAGGAAGTTCCTTTGGTTTACTTATAAGCTTGTAACATTACTGTTATGCATTTTTTGTGCATATGGCACAAATTTTATTAGCAATCTGACCAGCATCCCCCCTTTTAAAAATAAAAGTGCATAATATGAAAAAATGAATTTTTGTTTCAAAAAAAGTTTTTAGCTTTGCACTAGAAAAAAAATATGCCATAAGACATGCTAGAATTCTGTAACATGAGCAGAAAAGACCTTATCGGCAGCTCCTTACCAGCCCTTTGATTTGGGGGGGGGGAGAAGAACTTTTAGGATGACCCAGTTTGTAGAAGCAAAATTAACAGGTGAAAAAATTCAAGCACTATAAGCCATTTTCAGATAACACTGACAAAAATTTTAATAACAAAATCCTTAGAATTTTTACTCTTTAAAAGTAACTAATGATATTAACATGGTATCGAAATGCTCTAAAATTACCTCTCAAATACCCAGCCTATTTCCTCTAAATATATTGAAATTAACACTAATTTTATTCCTTTTTTGGAGAACTGATATTTTTTCATCAAAGGCATATATATATATATATTATTATTACTTTTAAATTGATATGATATAAATGTACTTATAAAGTACAAGTAAAACATATGTTTACCTGGATAACAGTAATATTCCCATGACTCTTCGGTACCACAGTCGGGAAACTCAAGCCTGCCATATCGACTGGAACATGAAAGTCATTGATATTTGCAGAAGTACAGGAAACATAATAAAAACAATGCAATGAGTGAGAATTTTCGACAGGTAAAGACATTTGTTGGGAATCACCAACGCAAAGTTTTTCTGGAAAATTTAACTCAGCTGGTCCTTTTATAGAAGGTGGTGAGAAAGCAGTACCTAAAGAGTAAAAGTGAACAATTCTTTATATATAGCTATTAGAATAATATGAAGTTAAAAATAAACATTTCCAAAGAAAATGATAGTTTCATGCCATTACGCTTTTGGAAAATGGTAATTATGTAATAACTCCTTGACTAAGAAAACTGGCTACCACTGAACCATAAAAGTTGGCCGAGATCCTGCTAAGGTTGTGTCAATCGTTCCTACGGAATTCAGAAGGAACTAAAGCGAAAAAACAACCAGTATTTGACCTGCTTCATTTTTTGCACTCTCTAAAACACTTTCATCAATTTTTGCTATTTTGCTAAGCCCTCAGATAGTACTAGAAGTTCTGTTTAGAATGCTACGAGTACTAAATTCCCACAGGTACCTGTCCCATTCTATTACTGTTTTGTCGGCCATATTCAGTCAACCATATCATTTCCAATAATCCACACATTTTTTAGTGGCAAGATACCATATCTTTGAACACTATCTCCTGCTTGCTGTTCTGTAAGGCAGGTTCTAAATCTTAATAAATGTTTTCCAAAATGTAAGATGAAAATACAGTAATAATTAATTTATAACCTTAAAAAAAAACAAAAAGTGGCTTACCGAGAATCAATCAGGTTGCATGAAACGAATGTGCATATGTTATGAGTGTTTTGTTATGTCACACTTATATATAAATGGCCCTAAATCATGCCGTTTGGGAAGTTTTTCAGTTGATAAAGATAATATGCAAGTACCTGGAAAATTTATGTTCTACTTAATGCTATTAAAAAGTGGATGTTATAGAAATTGTATGCACCTAATAAACAGATAATTTTTATATAAAAATCAATACATTGCATTTTGTTGATGTAATAACCCAAAATTTAAGGAATGAAGAAAATTAATCTTTCTTAACCAATTGCTAAATAATTGTACTTTGTACTGCAGTGCCAATCATAAAAATTATGTTTCACATGTGATTATTTACTTACTAACGGCTACTTAAAATCGATCAATATAGCCATGTAAGAGATTACTAAAGAGAAAATACAAATATCATTCTCCCTTAACAGTCTTTGCAAGTTCAAACCCGACAAAGTTCCTGCACAGAAGATTATGAAGCCATACAGATATCTATTTTTATCCTCCTAAAAACTGCATTTACAAAAATTTGAATAAGGACAATTATTTGGGGAAATCATTCTCCACTGAAAGAATGCCAGTCATTCTTCACACAAGAAGAGAGTTCTTTATACCTTAGGAACAGGCTGGAAGTAAGAATGTGGCAAAACATGGTAGTCTCAAAAACATATTGACTTTTGTGGTGAATAAAGTTACTTTACTGAGGAATGAAGGCACTCAAAGATAATTCTCAAGTAACACATAACCATTTATTAATTTCTATCATGACCAATTACAAGCTTGAAAAAAAAAAAAAAAAAAAAAAAACTCGACACATGATCTAACACAGGTAGTAGGAAAAAACAAGGCCAAAGTGTCCTCCTTCCATTCAAGAAAGACGAAAAACTGGTTTGATGACAATTTAAGCCTTTCTTGCTGTGCGACTTCAACGACAATTAAATAATTGAAGTTCAAATGTGAATGCGTACATTCACACTTAATCATTCTGATCTAGTGATGCTTGCATATTAGCATAACCACTTTAGTAGCAGCTTCCAAGTTTACAGAATGTGCCAGACTATGGCAACAATGCACATAGAAATTCTTCAGTTTTCCCAAGCACCATTACTATTTTTTATATTTTGTGGTGCTCGACATTTTAATAGATTTTATAGACAAAGTGATATTTTAATCATAAATTAAATTTTAAAACATCCATCTGTAGATTTTGCCAGCAATACAAGAAATTGTAGCAAAAGTTATGCAAGATTATACAGCATTTTGCTGCAAAATCGCGGCAGGAAAAAGTTACCAATTACTTAAAATGATCACCAAAACATTTCAACCAGGAAAAAAAAAAAAAAAAAAAAAAAAAAAAAAAAAAAAAAAAAAAGACCCTCTTGTAAATAGGTTTATGCTCAATTTTCCACACAAATGCCTAATTACAATGTTGTACTTCAGCTAATGCATCGACAGCTAATTATTAAAGTTTAGACTGACATTTATTTCAGGCAATTCCAGCATGTTGAATTAATCACTAAATAATTTACTTTTAATTCAAACCAGAAAATAAGATATTTCAAACTACTGGAGGGCCATCTCCTGTTGGCCAACTGGCTAAATTTACTGATTGCATCCAAATGGGAAATTCTTTCATGTTATCCTAGTCACACGGCCTGATGTACAGGCATATAGTAACAGAGAAAAATCCCCAACCTATTAATTCTTTTTTCTTTCCATAACAATCACAGACACAAACATATCTTTATGTCTCTGATTTGCAAGCCACATAAAATTCCTTCTCATTCTCACATGTGGGCTGCAAGTTTGAGACCACTGACTTAAATACTTGCAAGTTTTTTTTAGAGTAAATTATATTTTTTCATGATCTTAACATGAAGTTATGTACTTTGAAGAAATCATTTAGTTCTGAGCAGAATTCTAATTATTCTGTAGAGCAATCTCATGCATACAAATAAGGGTACTTGCATATTTTTCTGTCAACCATTTTCTAATAAAAGTTGTCTTTAATATTAGATAAATATTGGACAAGAGTGACATCTCAACACATTCATAAGATTCATGCTTTAGTTGTACATAACCTTCTACCTCAATAAGCAGTTAAGTTCTTGTAAAGATGAATAACATAACTGTAATTTATTTGTTGCATTTTGAAAAAAATTATTCAAATTTGGGTCAAACAACAGTCTTTTCAAAATTAAAGATTGATTACTCAATGCTTAAAAGGAAACTCATAATCATCGAAGCACTGACTCAAAACATTGAGGAATGAAGATTATTACAGCAAAGCACTTAAACATCAATTTGCCTAAAGGGTTAATTAGATTATTTGATTATGGCAAAGCACCTGAGCTTAAGTGCTTAAAGGGAGGAATGTCTTAATAGAAGACTTTCTAAATGAAATTCGCTCATATTGCTATTGCACATGAGGGAAAAAAAATATACATATACAGCCTCCCCATTTGCTTAGGTTTCCAATATTGAGCAGCCTTAACCATTTGGCCACTAGTAGGGCCACCTGTCTAATGAGAGGGATGCCTTCATGGAGGATTTTCTAAGTTAAACTGGCTCATACTGACATTATAAGTTGAAGCGAGGATGGTACCTGCACATCCACCTAGGTATCTTAGTCACGGCTGGGCCTTGCTAACAGCTAAGCATCTGATCTACGTGGAATTTTGAGGAAGAACACTCCAGTGGTGGTCTGAAGGTATCCCATTCCTCTTTTCCTATCATCAAGCTCTCAAAAGTATTTCAGCTCACCGTGTATTTTCAGTGCTCCCTTCCTGCATAAACACAAACATCCATGCCTTCCCTGAAATTAAAACCTGGACCCTTCATTACAACAGCATCTCTACCACTATACCATCTGGTGGTGTATTGATGTTGCACATCGGGAAAACCATAAAAACCATGTAGCCAATCCGCTCACATATGTTCAAACATCAGTACTAAGCAGCCTTAGCTGCTCAGCCACTATTAGGGTCACCTACCTAATGGAAAATGTCTTTGTGGAGGACTTGTTAGAAACTGGCTCATATTTATATTACACATGCTTAAAACGCTGAAAAGTGAAAACGTGTTTCTAGAACTAAAAAACGAAATTAATAACAAGGCAAAAATAGTAAGTTTTAATTGGGGTGAGTGAGTGAGTGAGTGAGTGATTATGGCGCAAAAACCAGAGATGGTTATGACGCGCCAAACACAAGATGGGATGATTACAATTGATGACATTAAAATTCAATCAATAAAAACAAGTAGATAAATGTACCAAATCCAGAGGATGAAGTCATATAAACAAAAATTTAAAAGCACATATTAAAATTCAAGACACAGTCTTCAAAACAAATTACATTTGGTAATAAAAGCCAATCTCTTTTAAATAATAAAATAAATTACAATTGACCTCTCTTCCGATTAAACGGTCGAGAGGTAAGTCACAGCTATTAAAATATTTCTGGCGAAGACTATTAAAACATGGACACTCAATTAAAATATGACGAACAGATAAACAAACATTACAATTAAAACAAACAGGCTCATTTTCAGCTTTGAGAAGATAGCTATGTGTGACTCTGGTGTGACCAATTCTGAGGCGAGTCAAAAGAACGTCCTCCTTTACGATTTCCAGCAAAATCCCAATGCTCAATTCTAGGCTTTGACGTTTCTCAACTTGTTGTGATGCTGAACATCCCAAATTTGCTGCCATTTTTTTCGGATCTTTCCCTTGATGACACAGCAGATATCTCTAAAAGGGATAAGGCGACTGGACAGTTCAACAGCAGATTTGGCTGCGATATCTCTGCAAGCTCATTTCCCTTTTATTCCAACATGTCCAGGAACCCAGCAGTACAGGACTTTCATATCCTCGAATCGTTAAATTTATGAATTTTGAGAACATCCACTACCACAGGATTCTGAGTGTTGGGAAAAGCTTCCAAGGATTTAAGAGCACTATACGAGTCTGTGTAAAACTATGAACTTTTTGTGGCAGAGCTTTGAGATGTACAAAAGACCATAATATATTGCAGTTAGTTCAGATGTTAGGACTGAGAAAGCATGGTGCAGGCATCTGCCCTCTATGTAATTTTCAAATACAAAAGCCATCCCAACATGATCATTTGACTTTGATCCATCTGTGTATATCGGATAATAACTGCTATATTTGTGCCTGTGCTCAGCGAAAGAGTTGTCTGTAAACGATCTCGTTAGTGCTTGCCTTCACGTGATGTTTTTGAAAACATCAAGAAGCTGAATCCGTGAATTTTCCCAAGGTGGGATTTCAAAATTCTGTACTGCTTGGGGGCGCATATCAGAGAGGGAAAGTTCCTCAATGATAGGGCGAACTCTTAAAGGAAAGGTAGGAACACAGGATGGACGTG